TGGCGCCCCCTGGGACCGATCGGACCCGTGCCCAACGGCCCGACGCTGCAGTACGCGCCGCCCGTGGTGGACGGTGGCCCTCTGAGGCCGCCCATCCGTCGCCGGGTGGACGGGCCGCTGCCGCAGGGGCAGCCGGGCCCGCCGCGCCGCCGCCGGCCCCGGCCGCCCCCGCAGGGCCAGCAGGCGCAGCTAAACCGGCCCCTGCCGCCGCGCCGCCGACCGGTCGCCGGCCAGCAGCCGTGGCCCGGCCAGCCGCCGCAGCGCCTGCCGCCCCGACCTCCCCCACAGCAGGAGCCCATCCGGCGCCGACCCCCGCCGAACGGGGCGCCTCAGCAGCGGCCGCAGCAGAACCCCGCTCCTCAGTTCTCCGAGCAGAACCAGCGCCCACCGCAGTTCGCCGAGCGTCCGCCGCAGTTCTCCGAGCGCCCGCCGCAGTTCTCCGAGCGCCCACCGCAGCAGCTGGCGGGTCCTCAGTTCCCGCAGCCGCCCCAGCGCCGGCCGCAGCGCCCGCCACCCGGCGGGTTCCGTCCGCCTCAGTTGCCCCCCACCGACGACCGGTTCTCGTTCAGCGAGTCTGACGCCGACGGCTGGACCCCGGCCGGCGCTTTCGGTGCTCCCGAGCCCCCTGCTGAGCTGGAGGGCGATGACGAGCCGGTCCTCGACTCGGAGCCCGCCCCGTCGGTGCCGGTCCCGGCTCCTCCGAGGGTGCCTGTGGTGAACGCGCCCCCGCCGCCGACCGAGACGGGCGCGCCGGCGTTCCAGCCACCCGTGGACCTGCTGCCGGCGGACGCCTTCACCCCCATCAGGGAGGAGGGCCAGGAGACCGAGGGTCAGACGGAGGAGCCAGAGGAGAGGCCAGAGAGGCCTGTAGAGCGTCCGGTGGAGAGGCCCGTGGAGCGTCCAGTGGAACGTCCGGTGGAGCGACCTGTACAGAGGCCTGTAGCGCGGCCGTTTGAGCGGCCCGTGGAGCGCCCGGTCGAGCGCCCGGTACAGCGCCCAGTCGAGGAGCGCCCGCCACCACTGCAGACCATCCGTCCCGTACGTCCGTTTAGGCCTCGGCGACCGGTGCGACCCCGCCCGAGGCCACCCGTGCGGCTCGAGAGGCCGAGCTTCTTCCAGGAGAACGAGATTGAGCGTCCCGCGGCGCCGGAGGTTCCTGAGGTCGAGCCGGTGACTCAGCGCACCGAGGCGACCGAGGAGACGGCCGACCGGGACGAGCTCAACACCGTCAGTCCTGAGGAGGAGATCGAGGACTTCCAGCGACCTGAAGAGGTGGAGAAAAAAGAAGAGCCCGAGCCAGTGAGATTCACAAAGCCAGTGGAGCCTACTTCGACGGAAGCTCAGACGACTGAGCGGATCACGACTGAAGCAACGACGACGACGACGACCACAACCACGACCACCGCCCGTCCCACCACCGAGCGGACGACGACTACAGAGCGGGTGACCGAGACGACCACCCGGCGCGTGCCGCCGACACCGGCGTCCCAGCCGGCCCGCCCGCGGCCGCCGTTCCGCCGCCGGCCCGCGCCCGGCTCGAACGATGATGACGATGATGACAGCTCGCCGAGCGGAGTCCGCCGGCGGCGGCCGCTGTCCAGCTTCCTCCAGAGGCGGCCCGACCTGAACCGACTCCGACCGAGACCGCGGCCCGGAGCGAGACCGAGCGTCCCGCGGCCGGAGAAGCCTTCTACGTTAGCCCCCACCACTACCACCAGCACCACTACGACAGAGGAGCCCACGACAACAACCACCACCACCGAGAGAGCCACCACCTCCACTGAGAGCAGTCCGAGCTTCCCTGAGAGGCCCAGCGTCTTCCGACCCCGCCCGTCCGTGTTCAAACAGCCGGGCTTCTCGGAGTCCCGCCCGGAGACTGACTCTGAGTCCGACTCCGTGTCGCCCGACCGTCAGGCCCTGATCGACCGTCTGATCCAGTCGGAGCTGCAGTCCAACCGTCGGCGCCGGCCGCCGCCGAGCCGCCGCCGGCCCGGTCCCGGAGGACGGCCTGTGGTGACCCCTGGCGGCCGGCCGGCGCGACCGTCCGTGTTCGACCGGCTGTCGGCGAGCAGGCCGACCCGGCGGCCGTCCCCGCTGCTGCAGCGTCGGCCCGAGCCTGAGGAGCAGGAGCAGGAGGTCCAGAGCGAGACTCCAGTCGAGGAGCCTCTCCTGACCGTGCCCGAGAGGCCGGTGGAGAGCCCCATCCGACGGCCGACACTGACACTGCCTCAGCGGCCCGCTCCCGAGGAGGTCACAGAAGAGGCTGCTCCGGAGACCACAGAAGCTCCCCTTCCGACGCGCCGGCCGCGGCCGCCGCAGCTCATCCGTCCTTCCGTCGCACGACCCCAGCCGTTCCCAGTGGATCGTCCTGAGCCGTTCTCCGTGAGCCGCCCCGAGTCCCTCCCAGTCAGCCGTCCTGAGCCGTTCTCAGTGACCCGTCCCGAGTCTCTGCCGGCGAGCCGTCCTCAGCCGTTCTCCAGGCCGCCAGTGAAGAGCCCGGGCCTGTTCTCTCGCCCCTCTCTGAGTCGACCGGAGCCGGCCATCACACCATCGGTGGCTCGCCCTCAGGACTCTGCCCCGCCGCAGAGACCCGCCGCACCGGCACCCCGACCCGCCCAGGCCAAACCAGAGAGCGGCGAGCGGGTGTCGATCCTGACCCTGGCCACGCAGCGTCCGCCGTTCAGCTTCGGCATCCGTCCGGTGACGGTGGCGCAGAATCTGGTGGCCGAGTCGCCGTACACGCACACCGGAGGCTACTCCAGCATCAAGATGTTCGGCATCAACGCCGGCAAGAAGCACGCCAAGAAGCCCACGTACGCGGAGAAGCGGAAGCCGGTGTCGAACGCCATCGGGTTCTCCTCGGAGCCGGCCAAGGTGCAGAAGCTGTCGCGCGCTGACGACCAGACGGAGCCGACTGCGGCTCTGGAGATCGGCACACCGACTGAGGTACAGACGGTCGCTGTCGATGAGACTGCACCCGAGCAGGTGACGACGGAGACCTACCAGCCGCCGCCAACCACCGAGCCGTACACTGAGCAGACCACCGAGTCTAACCGGGCGACTGCGGTCGGCTCCCAGTGGGAGACGACCCGGCCGCAGCCGTGGAGCCCCGAGCGGCCGGCGTCGCCCACCCCGGCCGTCCAGAACGACATCGGCGCCGACCCGGCCGTCCTGGAGGCCTCCAAGGACCAGGAGGCCGCCGCCGTCACCGACCGTATCCTCTCCGAGATCGAGGCCTGGACTCCGATCGTCAACCACCCGCCGCAGAAACAGGACGAACAGCATGCTGAAACGACCATCGACCAGCCCGAACGACACATCAGTTCTGAGGAGCACAACAACCAGTTTGTGGAGCCTCAATCAGCCGAGCCGTACTATGAAGACCCGGAGCAGCAGTACGAGGGTTCCGAGGGATACTACGATGATGCAAGGCAATACCAGGACCCCGAGCAGTACTACGAGCAGCCTGAGCAGGCGGCAGACACCACCGAGGCGTCCGGTTACCAGCAGCTCGAGTACTACATCGGCGACCCCTCGGACCTGCAGTCGGAGGGCTCCGTCTGGGCGCCCGTGGTCTCCGGCGTGGTGCGGGTTCCGGTAAGGCAGACTGTGGTTCCGGCCGAGCAGGGAACCCAGGAAGCCACCCAGGTGATCCAGGAGGCGACCGAGGTGGCCCAGGAGGTCAGCCAGGTGACAGCAGAGCCTGAGAGCCGGCCATACGCCGAGGAGGAGTATGTGGACGCAGACCCGGCCGACTTGTATCATCCTGGACAAGCTTACGGGGAGGAGATGGGTGACATCCCTCAGTACGATGATGTGGAGTTCCATGCCGGCGGGCCGTTTGTTCCGACCGGGGAGTTCGGTCCGAGCGCTCAGTCAAACACAGCTGAGATTCGGCCTGAGGTGGCTCAGAGCGCCCCCGGCTTCCTCCCGGAGCGGCCGTTCCGCCCGCCCCCGCCTCGGCGTCCTCCGCCGCCGCAGGAGCGGCCGGAGCTGCCGCAGAACCCCAGTGGTCCGCCGGCGCGGCCTCGGCCCGCCCGGCCCGGCAGCGGCTGGATGTCCGGCCTGCTCTCCGGTCTGTTCGGAGGAGGTTCATCCTCCGCCTCCTCCTCCTCCCAGTCCTCCGGGGGCGGCAGCGGAGGCCTCCTAGCCGGCCTGTTCCGGAGGCCCTCCACGCCCGCGCCCTCCCCGGCGGAGGAGCAGCTGCCGCCCGTGCAGAGCGACCCCATCCTGACGGCCATGTTCGGAGGATCCTCAGAACGGCCCGGAGCAGAGGAGGCGGCGCCCGCCGAGCGGCCAGCGTGGCAGCGAGCGGAGAGCGGCGGCGCGGACAACTAGAGACAACCACATGTTTCAGTCAGCAATCAGCACTTTGTACTTCAGTAACGACAGCAAATTAGCTTATATCGATAGTCTGAAAGATACAGAACGGGTGCTGCTGAACCAAGCTATTTTGGTTTGATAAAAAACAGCTTTTATAGTAAAACACGCATTACATTGTCCTGCTAAACAATATTCATGTAAAAGGGCCACACCGGCTGGTGAAGCAATATCACTGGGCTGAATTGTGCTACAAGTGTAACGATGTACAACTGTGAGGCATGGCCTGAATGTATTTGAACGTGCAGTCTGTATGGGTGCGTATTTTGCTCGGTGAGATTGTTTTCGCACTACTCCAGGGCGTGACCTGTTCTTTGTACCGTGCAAAGACTGAAAGGGCTATTACGTGGCATCTCCGTATGTTTGGAGCCAGATCTGCGCCGTACGAACTCAGACGGCGAGGGTCGCTGGCTCACACCATTGAATGCACGAACTGTTATTTATTATTGTTGTTGTTGTGGATGTGAAGGAGATCAAATAAACACGAAAGATAGAACCAAATGATCCTTATGCCCGCGGTACCTGAAACAAATGAGGGAAAACGAGTAACTTGCGTGACTCACTTCAAGACGAGTGCTGCTAACAAATAAGCACAACGATCATTATTGAATCAAAAGCCATTATCACAAAACTGCTTTATTATATCACAAAGCAATGCCCCATATCTGTATAACAACGCGTATTGGAAGAGCGCTGGCAGCATCAAACCCCGCACTCAGCACAGGCTGAGGTGGAGGAATTAGCCGGCCCCGTGGGGTACAGACGTAACAGTTCGTTCCAGACCATAACAATACCCGGTTCATCGCACACCAGCAGGTACTGCGGGTAGCCAGTCCGGCCACGATGGCACCTACACGGCGCCGTGTCGGGTCGCGGCCGGCCGGCCGCGGACCATTTTCAGAAGTGGCGGGCAGACCGTGCGTCGAGTACTTGCTTTCTCGCGCGGCGGTACTGGGGTTCACTAGCATTGTTTAAAATATTTTCATTTGCCATGAACTTGAAATTATACACTGTAATTAACGATCATTTGTCAATTATTACAAGTTCTTCAAAATTCTTCTTTGAAAGCAAATGATTTCATTTCACTCAAGAATTGTCTTGTCCACCACTACAACCGCCACCCAGCCGCCATCCATTGGAAGAGATAGGCTCTGCGGCACAAAGTGTCGTTTTAAACTGGACTGGGAACCAATGTGTGATGACATTTTGAGCTAAATTTATGTTCATTGTGTACCTAGAAGCATTGGGAACAACGCTCTGACTGTACATTTTTAGATTTTTGCCTCTAAACGAAAATATTTACAACCAAGTACATTGCGAGCGCAGTTTAGAAGCTCCCGTAATGTTAAAGTCCTATCTCCTACAAGTATGTAGGTAAATACTGCTCTAGGGAACCAACAGTTCGCATCGTACTAGCTTTAAATTATATCCATATTGTTCCCAGTACTTTGCTGAACACTGTGGTGAGTGTACATTTTTCGTTTTTTGCTTTACAAGCGTAAAATTCGTCTGGTTTTACACCACTTCATTCGCCTCCATAGCCCGGTAACGGCGCCGCGCGGCGCGGCCGGCCGGCGCCCGCTGTAGTTTCAAACACTGCCCGATAGATGGCAGGCGCAGAAGTGGTCCCAGCCGTCCCGGTACGCTAATACATCTGCTGCAGGCCCGGCTATCTTCTCTGAAATGTCATATGCATGCGAGGAGGTCGGTTAAGTCCAGAATCGCTGATCCCATCACGACCGCTGACCTAACGGCAGCATAATAGGCGACTAAACGTAACAGGGAGACGGTGCGGCTTACAATGTCGTCTGTCGTGGCTCTGCTTAGAGTGTCCACTCCCTGCCTCATCACCTCCACCTGAATGGTGCATACGTATGGCCATATAGCCCTCGCCACTTCCGCCGGTAAAAGGTCCATCCATACACCAGCGGCGGCGCGGCTTACTGCTGGAAGTACTTTGTCATGAAGTTGGCCGTGTGCTGGTCCACGTCGCGTTTCCGTTTATCGAGCAGCGCCATCTGCCGGGCGGCGGCCGCGTTGCCCGGGTCCAGTTCCAGCACCCGGCGCAGGTCCCGCTCGGCGTCCTCGTGGTCCTGTAGCGCCAGGTTTGCCGCGCCGCGCCGGTACAGGCACCGCACGTGGTTCGGCTGCTCAATGAGCACCCGCGAGGCGGCCGCGCGCGCCGCCTCGTGACGGCCGCGGCGCAGCAGCACGGCAGACAGGTTGGCGCGGCAGGCGAGCCGCGCGCTGGCGACCGCCGCCCGCTCCGCCTCACTCAGTCCCTCGGGGAGTATATAGACCAGCAGCGCCAGCGCGCGCCGGTACCGGTACAGCGCGTCCACGTCCCGGCCGGCCGCGAACAGCTCGTTCCCTCTGAGACGGGACGCCTCGGCGACTGCCAGCCGCTCCGACTGTGAGAGCCGCGCGTCCGGCCGTCCGCCCTCCACCTCCAGTACTGTCAGTCGCAGTGTCAGCACCACCCCCTCCCCTGCGGCGCGCGCGGCGGCGGGCAGCCGGTCTGTCCGCGGCCGCAGCACCACCCGGCAGCGGTCGGCGGGCCGCAGGGAGCGCAGACACCGCTCCAGCAGCCGGTCCAGCTCCGTGTCGGCCTCTCCGATAGTAGCGGCGCCGGCCGGCAGCCAGGCGGTCACCGCGGGGTCGCTGAGGTCCAGGCCGGCCGGCGGCGGGCAGTCCGGCTCCGTCTCCACCAGCAGTCGACAGCGGGCGCCGGGCTGGCAGAGGCCGGCCGGCTCAGGCGGACCGTCCCCGCCGGCGGAGCGGTCCGTCTCGGCCGGCAGCAGGGTCCGCTCCACGGCACCGTCCGACGAGCGCCAGTGGATCGGCGACATGGCGAGCCCGCGGGGACTCAGGCGGGGTCACCGCCCGTCAGTCGAGCTACTGTGCGGCTATATCAGACGACAATATAGCACTGAGATTCAGGGAGTCTGCTATCACAACTACCAGAGATCACACTATACCAAACGTTTGTCACTGTAGCGACGACTGCTCCGCTCACACGCCACTAAGCTCACTGCAGGTAGAGATCCGCCCAAGATTGCAGTGGTAAAGAGCCCACAGTTCAGAGAGAGCTCACCGGTCTCCTAGATCCCTCAGTTAGTTCAGAGTGAGCTGAGTCCCGTCCAGCGGTCGCTCAGTCGCCACAGTTCCTCGCCCACCTCACGGTCACGTACCAGAGGGTTGGCGTCGGCTATCGTGCAGTCCCTGAAACGACAACGGAGGGACACGGTTAGTATAAGAGAGCGACCAGAAAGATCCGCGCAGGACGGGTCACATGCAACTGACATCACACATTGATTTACTAGCATCAACATAGGTTAGACCGTTTAACTAAAAGCGTCAGAAGCAAAAGCTGACCCGAGCAGGACTTGACGCCATATCATCCCTCACACATTATAAATGAACCAGAGTTAAAACCAGTATAACGCCTTTTGGGGCGACTAACGGAGCGAGCGAGAGGGTGGGCCTTGCACGTGCGAAATTGCGAGGGGGTACCTCCAACTGACTTGTGCACGGCATCCTACTAACCGGTCTCTAGCGATGTGCCAAATTTGGGCACAATCGGCCCAGCCGTTCTCGAGATCTGGAAGCGGCACCCTGCACGTGCGCACGTGCAAAATGGGTCCCAACTGACTTGCGCACGGCACCCTTCTAACCGGTCCCTAACTGTGTACCAAATTTGAGCGCAATCGGTGGAGCCGTTCTCGAGATCTGGAAACGACCCCTGCACGTGCGCACGTGCAGCAGCGCCCCAACTCTGGCACATGGATATGCAGTGCCTAGTGGGTGCCTACCTACATGCCAACTTTCAGCGCAATCGGCCAAGTAGTTACCGAGATATTGCAACAATTACAAAACGGACACCTCTTCGTTTTGCACGTGGCACGTGCATAAGGGGTCATCCACATGCATCGGGAATAGTCCAATACTTGGTAGAAGGAATGAAGCTACCCTACAAAAATTGCCGCGTGTAAATCGGTCACGTGGTTGCTGAGATATAACCCTCGCAAAAGCGTGACCACGGCCGGCCGGCCGGCCGGCCGCTCATACTCAGAAATTTCCGTTAATCTAAGGAAAGACTACGCTCGCTTCGCTCGCTCCGTAATAAAAAGAGATAGTTAACGTTGACTTCTCCGAGAAGACACGTCAGCACGCCTCCTGTGAACTTACTTGAAGTACTGTCCGGTGACGCCGTCGATCTTGGAGCTGCACGCGCAGTGGATCACAGTCTGAGCGCCCTCTGAGGGCGTGCGCATCAGAAAGCACCTGACGGCGCACGGAGAGTCGAGTCAGGCCAGGTCAGGTCAGGTGAAGTAACCCAGTCGTAGGGATGTTACAGAGGCGTATACACAGAGGTAAGTGCAGCAGACGCCTGCTGAACGCTATGGACAGTCATGAAACACACACGGCTGGCTACCCGCGCTCCAGCAGCGTCCCACACACTGCGGCGGCGGCGACTTACCGGAGCAGTCGGACGTGGAAGGTGTTTAGTTCGCGGTAGTGCCGGTAGATGTCGGTGTTGACATTACCGGGGTCCACACTGTTCACGCAAATGTCCTTCCCTGAAAAACGATAATATTACGAATCTAAGTCATGTCCCTTCGAGTACGTCCTTTCACATTTCCCCAGAAACGTCAGGATTCCCAGAAAGTCCAGCATACACCCACCACTCTCAGCCCTAAGCCTAAGGAACACCCCTCCCCGTCGCCCTCACCGGCGAGCCTTAGTTTCCATCGCCCATCAGTCTCCGTCCAGCTCACCCCTGAATCTGCCGGCCAGCTCCCACTCTCTGCGGACCACCACAACCCTTCCCGCCGCTCTCACCCCTCAATATGCGTGCCAGCTCACCTCTCAATATGCCTGCCAGCTTACCCCTCAATCTGCGTGCCAGCTCGGCTGCGAACACGGCCAGTGCCAGTTTGGCCTGTCCGTAGGCGGCCACGTGGTACTGGAGCCGGGCCGGCGGCTCGGCGGGCACTCCGGCCGGGGCGAGAGGCGGCGCGCCGGCGGGCTGCGCGGCGCGGCCGGCGCAGTCGAACTCCAGTCGGGAGACGGTCAGGTGGGCGGCGCTGGAGACGAACACCACCCGAGCGCCGGCGGCCGCCTGCACCAGCAGCGGCGCCAGCAGGCGCGTCAGCAGGAAATGACCTGAAAACGAGGGAGACGGGGTCAGCGGGAAATGACCTGCGGGGTGGGGTACAGGATCAGCGGGGTGGGGTGACCTGCGTGGAGAAAGCGGGAGTGTATCTCGATAAGCTGGTGGCTGAAGGCCGGGAGAGGGACGGCACAGCCTGACGAACGGAGTTCGATGTGTCTAGACGGGACGGGTGGATTGTTCTCTCCCATCCTCAGATAGCTGATATAACTATTCTATTTTCTGTAACTATGTGCCTCTTCCTCACCTAGGTAGTTGGTCTGGAAGGTGACGGTGAATCCGTCCTCGGTCAGGGACGGCGGGCAGTAGAAGCAGCCGGCGTTATTCACCAGAATATCCAGACGAGTCTCAGCTGAGTGAGAATGAAAACAAAACCGTCATCACCACTGAACAGCGGCGGAAATCACCACATGTGAGAACGGAGCATGGACAACGACCTCCGTCGACACTCGACACTGAGCGAACACAGCCCAACACATACTATGGACCACGCCCTGTAACTCCCGGCGCCTCCCCCATGTCAATAGCAGCCAATGCTCGTGGTACACAATCAGCACGGCACCGGCCAATCTCCTCACTCACCCTGTCGGAGCTCGCTGACCAGCCGGCGCACCGAGGCCAGGCTGTTGAGGTCCAGCTGCAGCGGACGCACCGACGTGTTACTCGTCTCGTTGATGATGCTGAAGGCGGTGTGACGCGCCTCCTCCAGCGAGCGGCAGGCCAGGTACACCCGACCTCCTGTGAGCAGAGTGGCACGGGATTGTCTCAGTCCAGCGCCCCGCCGGCTATCGTAACGGTGGCATAGTGGGCATACTGTCATAGTGGGCGGGCAACGGGGATGGGGACCGGAAGAAACACCCGACATAGTGCATGAGTAATGCATTAACGCTGCAAGCCGAGAGCGCTCAGAGAAGTTAAACACCTTAAACCATCCCAATGACATTTCACCCGTCATCAAACATCAGTGATGTTGCTGCTGACTAATAATACAATCGTGGTTTTACGAAAAAAGTGGGCCGATCCAGAATCAGGACGGAGATGGTTCGACGACAGCAGAGCCGTGGCGGCCCAAAAGCACATCCAGCACAGTTCGACGACAATGCATACTCGTCAGACACCACCTTATCTGACGGCGAACACTGAACAGTGAACATTAGTGCAGATCAACCCAGCGACCACCGGCGCCGGTCCAAGCCACGGAGAGGTAAGAAAAACGCAGCTGGTGAGGTGAGGGCGAATGTAGCCAGCGAGGCGGGTGTTAGAATCAGTCCAGTGAGCCAGCTAGTAGGAGGATTGTCAAAGCGGCGCCCATCAGCCATTTACCGATAGCCTTCACATCATAAGGGTGAAAAACCAATCAGCGTAAGTGCGTCCATGCAGTGTTGGAAGCCTGTGTGCTGCTATTCTAATCCAAACCAAAGCGTGATGTTAGTCCTCCGGCAAAAAGCTGCTGAGTCGTCCAGCATCCCGGTGTGTTAGCCAAGCTGAAGTGGTGAATCACGACCATCCTGGGCCACCCACAGCCGCGGCACATGCGGGCTCAGTGCAGCAGCGGTGCCCCCTGAGTACATGCGAGTGCTCCGTGGGTGCCGCGTTACCTCTGAGCGCCAGCTCGCGGGCCACCTGCAGTCCGATGCCCGAGTTGGCGCCGGTGATTAGCACCACGCGGCCGTCTATACGGTCCGCGCAGTCACACGCCGTGCCGGCCACGCGCGCTCTACCGACAGGGGCCGGTCAGACCCCAGCTATATAGACAGGGACAGGGCTGCGGAGTCAGACCAGACCCTAACTACACAGACGGTCTGCAATCAAGCCCTTGCTATACAGACAGGGTCCAGTAAGACCCCAGGAAAGGTGCAGGGCCCCATCAGACCCAATTTGTCCCTACTCAAGTGGTAATGACTAATGGATAGGATAAATGTCTCTAACAGCCTATTGGGTATCTGCCCCCCTTCAAACTAATCAAAGAAGTTGATTAGTGTGGCATCTACTTTAGCACCCCTAATCCAAGGAAACCATAAAGTTTATTTGTCTTCTAGATATGGCATGAAATGCAAAAACATGTCATGGGTGACTGTGAGATATCATAAATGACCATTGGCCATGGCCATGCTGTCATGCAGCTAGATTTGTCCTTAGAGTTTGTACCAGATAATTCAAGGGAAAACAAATGAGCCAAAGAAAATGTGAACAATAAGAACTTAGCTCTATTGGAGAAAGTAAAACAAAGAAATTTGATGTATGTGTGGCCAGTGGCCACTGTTCATACTTCATAGTCTATAGGTGGGTGGGCATCAAATTACCTACCTTCTGTAGAAGTATGCTCCAAATACAGCTATTCCAACAAGGCTTCCAAACAATGGCAAGTACTCCATCAGACCAACATCAAGAAATTCATGTTTGGTGTACTGTGAAATGCAGAAAGTCACAATTTGTCTGGCCTGTGCTCACAAGTTCAGGCTTTGCAGCTCAGCATCACAATGATATGCCACTCACAGACACATCACTACAGGTAGGTATCATAGTCAAATATGACAGATTTCTTTGATCTGAAATATGTTGTAATACCACTATAATGACCATACACCCACTTAAGTATACCGATACCAGTCAATACCATTACAGGGCAATTCCATGATTCAGAACTGCAGAATCCTTGGGAAATCTACCCAATAATTCATGTTGCTGACACAAAGGAAATGAGTCTGTCCAGCCCATGAGCAGCTAGGAATAAATCCTGCTTTTAAAGTGGCCACCAGGCACCAACCAGTCTCACTTTACGAGCTGTATAGCCTCCTCACGAGGCAACCAAAATATAAGGCCACTACAAAACTAAAATTACCATAACCATTAGGGGTAAGTAGGAAGAGTGATGCCTCATCTCTAATCAATATCCTCTGAAGCAGCTTCAATTGAAAACAGCTGAAAATCACACTTCTTGAAGTTGACAGGTGAGAGGTTTTGCCAAGTGCCACCATTCCTGAGCCAGGATTTGATCCAAAAGGGGTCTAACAGGAAAGAACAATCTTAATTTGAGTCAAATTTGAGTGAGAACTTCTGCACTTTCTACCAGAAAATACTAAAAACACAGCAATGCTTGGCTCCAAAGAGCACCCAACTTTCATATACCACAGAGCTCATAGCCTAATAGAAAGCACTATTCGAAAACATAATTTGCATAAGACAGACACGTGCTAATAGCAGAAACTAGCTGGTTGCCAAGCAACTCGTAATGAAAGTTAGGAGGTTGCTAGGTAACTTGCGGCTATTATCAATAGAACCACTATTTTGCTGAATCGTCGAACACTTAATCAAATGGTGTTGCAGGTTCAAAGCTGGAAGATGTGGGCTGCTGTGAGGATTTGCTATATTTTTAATTTGTTAACTGAAATAGGAGGAAGTTAACATTCCTTTCATGCAGCCGAGAGCTAAGGGTTGTGTTGAGTAAAAGAGAACTGCATGACGCTTTTGCTTGTGCCTAAAAGAATGGATTTGGCCACAGAGTTTCCATGACGAGTAGTGCTTATGGCTGACCTGTTTTTATCCATTTCCACTGGTTTTACAACATAATTGTTTCAAATTAAATCAACCTGGCTTTAATTTTCTTGAATTCAGGTATTGGTCTTAGTTGTAAGTGCAGAGCTGCAACACTGACCTCACATTGCAACACTGACCTCGCACTTGGGAGTAATCAGACAGTGGAGCTGGATTTGGAGTGAATGAGATTCAGCTGCTGTATTTGTATTGAGCTGATGCCTGACAGCTTCTTTTTTTTCTTGCTAAAATATGGCAAACCAAGGCAACACTTTATTTCATGCATGGTTACTCCAACTATGGCACAGACTTCAATGCAGCTAGTAATTCATGAATTGTGGTAGGAAGTTTGTGAAAAATTTGTGGATTGGTGGATGTCATTTGATAAGGTGGATTGAAGGCAGTATATACTGGTGGATTATGATTTGATTTGATGGATTATGTTTCCCTTTTCAGAACTTTAATCACAAGATTTGATTTGACCAGGGCAGTGACCAGTGCCTTTGCAAACAAAAAATCATTTGATGACACCTATATGCCTCTTGTGATTGATTTGAACTCAATATCTTATATTTCCAAGTGATCTTTTGTTCAGAGAAGATGAAGATTGTTATACTACTTCTTGGTTGTGCTCTTTGCTTATCAACATGTTCTGGCCAAGAGCAAGAGGCTGTTCAGGATGATCAGCAAGCTGGTCATGCAGATGAAGCTAGTGGAAATGTGGAAAAGGAAGCAGATCATGCCCCGCTCTCAGGTTTTACTGTGGAGGATTCCAGCTGGAAGATTGTCTGGCATGGAAGCTCTGATGTTGATCTGCTGGTGAGAGCTTATTTACAACAGTTATGGTATCAGTCCTTTGAGGTCTCAGTTTATATTGCATAAGTATGGATGAACTTATTACTAGGAACTATTTTCTGGTGTGGATCTTCACAGGTAGCTGGTAAAATGCCATCTGTTGCTCTCATACATCATGCATGTACTATAAAAATGATATTGAATGAATAGTGAATTGACTTGCACTGGCAATGAACATGTTTCTCATACACCTTGATTAGATATGTTCTTTTTCAGAATGCCCCTGACATGGAGTCAATTTTGATGCTGACCAAGGACAATGAGCAGTACAACTGCCAAGTGGAGAGTGTGAAAAAGCCGAATGAGGTGGGCGGCTCCACTGGTCCACTGCTCCTTTGGTGCACAGTTACTCAGTCCTGCCCATATCTACATTTACTTATCTCACTACATTGGTGTTCATGCACTCATGTCTCATAAGTCATAGGTCACTGTTTGTGACTAGCTAACATGATAAATGAAGGTAGCTTAATTTGTTGTGCATGAGTTTCATAGTGTATTTTGCATCTGCTGATGCCAGTGTGAGCCATTATCTATCATTGGTGTTATTGATGATCTCACCATGTGACCAACAGGGCCTTGATTTGATGACTGTATTACATTCAGTTCTTGTTTCCCTCAGGAGGAGGACGCGTCGTACGACGGCCCCAACCCTCTGCAGCTGATGGAGCCTCTGTTCAACAAGCTGGCCTGCTCATACAGGGTGAGTTTCGCTGCTCGTATTGTCCCCTTTTCGCCCCGCTCTCCACGACTGTATCGAGCCTAAACATGGACGTTTACCGCTAGTGTGTGTTTTGGTGACAAATATCGGTCCATTTGGTGATAAGCAGGTTCTACTTGGCTGGCCCTAAGTCTCATTGTATGCCTAGTTTAGAGACATCTGTCTCATTCAGTCCCAGCGTCTTATTTCCCTGTTTCGAGCCCACCCGACGCTTACCCCCCTCCCGCCCTATCCGCCGCCAGCTGGAGTCGTACTGGACGTACGAGGTGTGTCACGGCGACTACGTGCGCCAGTACCACGAGACCAAGGAGGGCAAGCAGACCAAGCTGATCGAGTATTACCTGGGCAGATACAGCAAGGAGACGCTGCAGACAGAGGGTAACCACCGCCGGCGCCTTACGGCTCTGCATGAAGGATGGAATATATGTAACGTCCGTTTCTTTCGATGAGGTGCACTTTTATTCGCGCAGACGTAAAGGTTACGTGCGAACGATGGTTGATAGAAATGCCCGATAGGTAATATTCTACGTCGTGGTCTTGTGTCGTTAGTTTACTCATTCGTCCGCTCGTTCGTTCGTTCGTTCGTTCGTTCGTTCTTTCGTTCGTTCGTTCGGTCGGTCTGTCTGTCGCTCGTTCGTTCGGTCGTTCGTCCGTTCGTTCGTTCCTTCTTTCGTTTGTTCGTTCTTTCCTTGTCTTCGTTTCGTTGGTTCTTTCGTTCGCTCGTTCGTTCGTTCGTTCTTTCGTCCGTTCGTTTTTCGTTCATTCTTTGGTTTGCCCATCTGCCACGTAACTCGTTAGCTACTCGTCGTCTCGTTTACTTCTGACCGTTCTATTTCCATAATCTGACTGGTATCTGACATCCCTTTGTTCTCCTGCCGACAGTGGAGGAGTGGGATGCCGCCCTGAAGAGTGACCCGGCCTCTCGGCGACCCAGGACGCTAAGGCTGGAGGAGATCGACCTCCCCTACCTGGAGGTGAGCTGGACGAGTCAACCTCTCCTTGACTTGACGTGCAGCGACGGTACGGTGTGTGACATGTAACCTGACCTCTGACCTGACCTGTCACCGCTGACCCCACCAGGTGACGTGCAGCGGCGGCATCGTATGTGACCTGACCTCTGACATCTGACCTTACCTGAACCCTGCCCCCACTAGGTGACAGCGGCGGTACGGTATGATCTGTGACCTAACCTCTGACTCCACCAAGTAACATACAGCGACGGCATGGTGTGTGGAGTTGGACTGACCTCTGACTTGTGACCTGACCCCACCAGGTGACCTGCAGCGGTGGCACGGTGTGACCTGTGAGTGACTGTGACCTGACCTGTGACCTGACCTCTGACCCCTGCCCCACCAGGTAACATACAGCGGCGGCACGGTGTGCGACCTGACGGGCCGCCCGCGCCAGACGCTGGTGCGGTACGTCTGCCACGCGGCCGGCCGGCACGAGGTGGTCTCCTTCCAGGAGACGTCCTCCTGCCAGTACGTCATCGTGGTGCTGTCACCGCTGCTCTGCGCCCACCCAGACTACAGGTGAGAATGCGGGGTCACCCAGACTACACTTAAGTGAGAATACGGAGAGTCGCTGAGAGTCACGGGGAGTCACATAGATCATAGGTGAGACTGCTGAGTCACTGAGACCAGCGGAGACTACCGGGCCACCAAGGTTAAGGATGAAACTACCTACTGAACTTGACCCTGCACTCTGCGGTGCTAAACCAATGTCTCATTCTGTTGTAACCTGCATTTACGATGATGCCGTGCTGCGATTTCAGTATCCGTTCGCGTCGCTAGAGGTCGCTAGTGGACCACCGTGCTGTGCAAATGCGGTGGGAAGTCACCAATGCTGCTTTTATTGTCTAAATTAGTCCCGCACTTCTCACGTCTGCCTCTCTCCTTGCTCTCACAGGGTGACGGCGGACGTGGAGCACCTGATCCACTGTATCGCCCTGTCCAACTCGCCCAAGCGGCCGCGCTCGCTGCTGGAGCTGGAGGCGCAGAGTCTGGCGCTGCGGCACGGTCTGCGGCCGGTGGACGGCGCGCCGGCCGCCGCCCCCGCCGCCGCCCCCGCCCCCGCCGAGGACGGGCCCGACCCGGATACGACGCCTGCGGACGCCGAGCCGCCGCCGATCACCACCGCCCGGCCGCTGGCCGTCTACGACGAGAAACTGGTCGAGGACTTCCTGGCCGGCCGGCACTGCCTCAACGGGGTGAGTGGGAGGAGAGGGGTGACAGGAGAGCTCTGAGCTCTGACAGACGTCTGAACGGGGTGAATAGGACTTAGGAGGGATATGAGAGTCATGGCGGAACACTGTCTCAACAGGGTGAGGAGGTGTGTGTGTGTGTGTGGGGGGGGGGGGGCAGGAGAGCGACAGACCACTTTGTGGTCAAGGAGTGTAGTGTTTTAGCTTTTCTTCTGAATGAACTCAGACCTCAGTATAATGTGGGGGAGCGACAGGTCTCTCTCTCTCTCTCTCTCTCTCTCTCTCTCTCTCTCTCTCTCTCTCTCTCTCTCTCTCTCTCTCTCTCTCTCTCTCTCTCTCTCTCTCTCTCTCTCTCGTCTCTTACCTCCTCCCGTTCGTCAGGGCACCGGCTGGTGGCGCTACGAGTTCTGCCACGGCAAACGGGTCGACCAGTACCACGTGAACCGAGACGGCACGCGAACGGTCATCCACCTGGGCTTCTTCAGCCGCGACGTGCACCGCGAGTGGCTGACGCACAACCCGCAGAAACGTCCGCGGCCGGCCGCCGGACGGCGACACGTCTCCCACTTCTACTCGGGCGGGTCCATGTGTGACGAGATCTCGGCGCCGCGCTCGGTCGAGGTGAAGCTCAAGTGTAAGCAGTCCGAGTCGCCGAACGCTGTATCGCTGTACCTGCTGGAGCCGCGGCCGTGCCAGTACATCCTGGGCGTGGAGTCGCCCATCGTCTGCCGGCTGGTGGAGCAGGCCGACGACGACGGACTCATAGACGAGTAGTGGCGGCGGACTCATAGACGAGTAGTGGCGGTGGACTCATAGACGAGTAGTGGCGGTGGACTCATAGACGAGTAGTGGCGGCGGACTCATAGACGAGTAGTGGCGGCGGACTCATAGACGAGTAGTGGCGGCGGACTGATAGACGAGTAGTGGCGGCGGACTCATAGACGAGTGATATCGGGGACCGAGTGATAGGTAGGCGGTTGAAGCCCCGAGTCGAGAGACAGAGACCGGGCCGGGGTCGGCCAACAACAGCCTATAATGAGTTGGTAGCACTCGGGACAGCGAGATAGGATCAGGCTGACTCCAAACTACACGGGATGGGACGACTCAGCTCCAGACTGACAGACGTCACAGCGTGCAGTGTGGTGCAGTGAGCTTAGCTGGGGCGGCTGACGGACCGTGTGGCGGCAGTGACTTCTGAATTATAGCTGAACTTTACGACGGTGGAACTCCGGCCTCAGTTGGAGCTCGAGTGGAGACTGATCTAGTCTGGTTCGGTCTGCCTGGCTGGACGGCCGGGAGTCTCAGTCCATCAACCTCTGCCTCCGAGACTGCCAGCGGCGGGAAGATCTACCTGTTCTCAGACTGGTAGTGGCTCCAGTTAGCCGTATCTACCGTGGCTGGCGCTGTGACTCCTGAGTCCTGATCATCGCACCTGTCGACCTCATAGTCGAGGGGAGGCGCGCTATCACGAGTGATTTTGTCTGGGGTTGGGGCCCGGTCACTGAATTTTATTGTCCATCGATTGCCAGAGATTCGGCAATACCACGGGGTGATGGCTCACAGCGTGATTATATGGTTATCGTGAACCCCGCGTGCCGAGTGGCTCCTTGTTGATATTGTTACAGCCTCGTTTGTGAGTGATGGGTGTTTATTGGTTTGTGTGTGGGACTGTGGGTGTTGCCGTCATTTTGTTTGTGTGTGTGTGGGGGGGGGGGGGGGGGGGGGGTTGCAGTGATGTGGAATCCCATGGTGTAATTTTATTCCAATCACTGGTCTCGAACCCTCCTGCTGACATCCTATGTGACCAAGACCTCTTAAATTATTTTTGTTGTAGGAATGTTGGTCAACTGTCATTGTACTGTATCATAATAAAACCGGTATATTCAACTCAACTGTGCAACAACACATTTTCTCCATTTGCAGCAGGATGTAAACAGGCGCGTATTTTGACGGGTGGAGGCGAAATAGACCGTTTCCCGAGTGAGTGATGTTTGTGTGCCTCTGACGTCTGACTGACGGACACCCTTTGAGCGGCACGTCTACCCGGCCCCGCGTTCGACCTTCCGTTCGACCTGCTCTGCGGCACGTCCGTTAGACGTGACCTCCGCGCGGAGCGGACGGCGGATTCCGCCGCGATCGGCCGCCATATCTCACCCCGCGCGCGTGTGTGTGCTCTGTGCGGTACGTGTGTTTTGTGTCACTGCTGCCTGGATATCCGGCTCGCAGGAACCCAGCGTCAGCACCTATTCAGTTCCTCCGAACGGCTATACACCTGTCACGGGACGTGTCACCGCCCGGTGGTGTCAGCCCGGTGACACTGACACAAAAGGTCACTGAGAGGCCGGCGGCAGCTGACACGTACCGGCACTGGTCACGGCTGATTCACTGAGGTCTGGCCGCGGGGGGGGGGGGGGGGTCGACAGACTGACCTGTCCCAGAGGCGGTACATCGTATCCGTGTTCACGGACCTTTTTTTATGTAGGAATCTTGTAAATAACCGAGGAACAAGTGTCTGTTTACGGATGTGACTGAGATGACGCTGTAATATCTCTCGCGAGGCGCCTGTGAGTCCGCATGGGAGAGGGCAGGCTCGCATTAACCGCTTAAGACCGGTCTGACTGATTAGCGAATAGCTTAGCAAATAGCCGGAGGCTTGCTACCAACGGTCGGAACTTGTGAGGGTACGAGGTATCTTGTTATGCTATCGGTCCAGTTAGCCGATTTGTAAGTTCATATGCCGCTCTGAAACTTTGAGTTGAGTTGAGAGAACTTTGAGCCTGAGGTTGTTCTGCATAACATTTATGCAAGCCGTTGTAGCTATTATCGTCGGGCGGGGTACGACTGTCTGTCTGATGAACCAATCAGTTACCGAGGTGAACGGACCGGTGTCCTGGTCGACGCGGGCTCTTCTGTTGTTACTGAACGAAGAGACGTGGGGCACAGCGGTGATGTGTGCTAGCTGTGACGGCTCCCAGCCCATTATCACTCCCTGCTCGGCAGTTGTATCAGTGCGGGCGACACCAGCGTCGTTACAGCCCGTGGAAGTTGTGGCCGTGTCTCGCTACCCAGTAACCCATGGGACAGACAGCGCTCGTGACTCCACTGACCCAGCCTTGACCTGACCTCGGGTGATGGGTCACCGGATGGGACAGCTCACACCCGGAGAGCTAGTCTGATCCCTGCAGGCCCCTGACCCGACCTCTGGCGGCGGGTCACCGGGTGGACCATGGACCATGCCTTGGGAGGTCGATCTTAGAGACTAGACCTGACCTGACTTTCGGTGACAGTTCACCGATGGGCCAATCATGACTGGAGAACCATCTGACCAGCGTAAACCTCCGGCCTGACCTCTGGTGACCAGTAACCGGTCGGGCAGTGCAGATGTCACCAGTCACCACAATCTCAAAGATGTCATCAGCCATCCCGTTCATCCGATTCAAGAGCATATGTTTGCTTCCATTGCTTTTATCCTCCTCCGCCCATGCTGTTCAAAAACCAATCGAGGATGATTTGATCGACTTGGCCGTGGTGTAATTGCGTCATGCTGCTCTCGCACCCTAGTCGCTCGCGATTATTCAAATCCACAGACTAGTGATGGAATGCATATAATCATTTATTCACCAATTATATTTGGCCGCAACATCCATATAAAATAGAACGATATCTGTCACAATCACAACTCGTGGGCAGCCCATATACCATGTCGAACACTCGGGGCCTCGTCAATGTCAATCAAGCACCAGCACAAATATATTTCCCGTATGCACACTTGAGACAATAAGATAAGTCTTTATAAGCGGGCCGCGCGGCCGACCGGCGGGGGCGCGGCGATACCGGCGCACTGCGGCGCTCAGCTGTGCGCCGCGTCCGCCTGCGGCGCGCTGTCCCCGCCGTCGGCGCCGTCACCGATAATGGCGCGGAGAACTGCGCTGCTGGGCTCGGCTACCTCCGCCGGCGGCTGGTCAGAGAACGACAGCAGCAGGTTGGACGACGTGGAGCTCTGCCGCGAGTGGCTCGGCTGGGGAGGCGGCGTGCTCCGCGGCAGAGGCGGGCCCTGTCGGCAGACGGGGGGCGTCAGCGGGGCTGAGAGGGGGAGGAGCACAGGCTGCCAGACTCCGGGCGTCATACTTGGGAACCGACGAACGTTGACGTTAACTGGTCAGTCTTGCGCTATGAAATGCAAATCTCAATACAATCATGGAGGTGGATAAGAAAGAAACCGCAATTCCACACAGCTCCTCTCAATATCATGAATTTGAATGAACAAATGCCACAGTTCACAGAGGAAGCCCGGTGACCCAGACACCATCATTTCCCCCTAAACCAGCGGCAGCGGTGCTGACCTGTGTGGCAGCTCGGTGGGCGCGCGCCTCGGTCCGGCGCGCCGCGTCTCGCGCCATCTGCTCGGCGGGAAGCACGGCCGGCTTGCGCGGCGTCGACTCCGCCTCCAGGAAGCGCACGAACGCCTGAGTGAGCGAGCCGCCGGGCGGTGCGGGCGCGGCCGGCGCCGGGTCCAGCCGCGCGCGCGCCCGCTCCTCGCCGGAGAAGTCGAGGACGGTGGCGATCACCCTGAGCACCTCGCGCTCGTGGCCGGCCGGCGCCGAGACGTACCCGACCACCAGGTTCTTCACCAGCGTCCTGCGGGCGGCACGAGCAGAGTCAGCGCTGGCAAAACCCCACGACCCCGCGCCTTACATAACCCTGGTGTGAGATATGAGCGGATTTAGTCTTACCGTGTCATTAACGTTAACATCAGTAACGGATTTGAGCCATCTGATAAATACGATCCAGTTACGTCTTATCATACAGAGAACGTTAAGAACGCGGATATCGTGATTATCACGCAACACGGCCTTGTCACTGTTTCTGCAGATATTCTCGAGTAACGGCCGCCGGCCCGACTGGCTAATGTCTCCCGCCCGGCCGGCTGCACCAGCAGACGCCACTGTATGAGTGTGAGAGTCTGCTCAGGTCAGGTCCGGAGTGTGAGACTGACTGATGAGTTAGTGTGAGAATCAGGTCGGGTCCTTACTTGTCCACCTTGCCGGAGGTGTTGCCTTTGAGCTCGTCCAGCTCGGTCTGCAGTCGGATGTTGGCGTCTACCTTGGCCTCGACTGTAGACAGAGGGGCGCGGCCACCGGACGGCCGCGGGGACTGTCAGTGGGTCTGGGGCGGCCAGCGGGCAGTAGATACACGTCCCGGTACATGGCACACTTCGGCAGCTGGTGCGGATTCACTTAGAGTCGTACTGCTTAGTTGAGCAGACTGGCATTTTAACCAGCAGTACAAGACGAAAAATGTTCAATTTATGTAAATAACAAACTGACAGACAACTTACTAAAATGACAAACTGAACAAAGCGGGTTCGCAGGCAGCCATTCGGTACCAATACGGAATACCTACTCCGTACAAGCCAGTGGAGCGGGCTAAAAATGCTCTACATTATATCTTCAGCCAGAGCGAAATGTAGGCATGCTATTCAGCACCGGCATCACTCGCGGTGAAACAAGCAACATTAACGGGCGAAAGTGGCAACATTAACGGGTAAAACAGGTCACAATGCATATAATCGTAATAAATAATGCATAAACTTATAAGAAATAAGTAGCAGGTGACGTCAACGCTGCTAGCAGCTCCATAACTTCAGCAACGCGTATAGTCATGCAATATTACTGGTGATAACTCATCAAACCAATATAAAGTAACAGATGACTGAAATAAAATTCAGCACGGTGCGATCTAACGCAGCGGGCGCGGCGCGGGCGGTGTCCCGCTGTCAAGGTGCCGCCGTGGGGCGCTCAGCAGAGTCTCGTGGCATGCGGCGGCTGGTGCGGTGCCCCAGACAGAGTCCGAGCATTGCTTCGACACTGAGATCCAACCATCCAGTACCTGAAGTAATACTCAGATCTGCCCGGGGCGGCTCGGCGGGGCGCGCATGCGCGGTGGACCGCCGCAGGGGGGGGGGGGGGTCAGTCTGGCCACCCTCCCCCCGCACGGGGAGGCGCAGCACACTCGAGGCGGTTGGGGGGACATGCGGCAGGCCTAGGTGCGCCTCATCGCTACCTCTGCGCAGTCACTGCCAGACGAAATAAATGAAAACGAAAGGGCTCTTGTTGACAGCAGTAATGACGTTCAAACTTAGAAAACAAAACTATATATGGTCATTCTAAGTACAGACGGAAAACTTTGCACCATGCAGCGCTGGTAAATGATCACAGAATACACAACATTTGCGATATTAATTGCAACTGAGGCATAATCCGCATAAACAACAACATAAAATGTGCGAAACAATGACGATTTCCAAAGACGCATGTGCACTATAACCGTGTTTAACAATGCTATATGACGGAGAACGGAAACAAAACACAATCAGCAGTAAACAAAACAATACCGGTTGCAGGGATCAAATGCTTTTAACTACGTTCGTGCATTACCGATCAACCATTCTGTGTCATAACAGCGCTGACTAAGGCGGAAATGCCGGTGTGCATTCTTTCAAAGCTTAGTGCATTCTTTCACAGCTTTGGGTGTGCTAAAATACCCAGTGCCCTAGCGGCATAATCGCCTGCATTTAAGGTTGAGATACATTAGAAGACTATTCCTCATATTCGGTGGATCAAAACCACGCCCTCGACAAACAACATTTGCACGGAGGTCCCTACAGCGAGCCCCAACCGGCCGAGCGGGGCAGACACGAACGAAGCGACTGATAGCGGAGGGACGGCCGGGCTACTGGACCGGCGGCGGGCGGTGCGCGGCGGATGGAGCCCCGCTTCAGTCACTGGCGGGCTGTTATTTACAGACAGACGGGCCGAGCTACACAGACGGGTGAGCGGTGCGGGCGGCGGACGGAGGCGGGACGGACAGACAGACAGACAGACAGACAGAGACGGGTGAGCAGGGCGGGTGAGAGCGGCGGGGCGGGTGCGAGCTGGAGTGAGAGCGGCCGGCGCGGGCTCACCTCACAGAGCACGCCGAGAGCGAGCCTCACTCAGCGTTACCATGTGAGATTAGCACCGCACCGGCACCGCGCTGCGCTGACGGTACAGGCGGACCGAGCGCGCCGAGCGCCGGCGGACGGCGGACGGAGACGCGGTGCAGAGGCGGCGGCCGGCAGACACGGACACATACTGTACAGGACTCCGGGCCGTGAACACGGCACAACACTGACACAGCTGGCGGCGTGCTGGACGTCATATAGTACACGGGCAGAGCCTGAATCCTGACTTCAGGAACATGCATTGGATAACCAATATTAAATATTATTGGGCATTAAAATCGGTAAAGTATTCAGCAGTCTAATTTTGTTCGTAAGAAGAAATAAATAAGGCCTATAAATTGTTTGAGCTTTGAGCGCTGTAACTAATACGACCACGGAAGAAACAATTCATACCAAAAAGAATGCTGCTCGGCATGTTTCGCGCCGGAGATGATTTTGCTCGCCCCAACTGACCTTCAGAGTCCAACAGCGCACAATGCAGGCAACATGCAAAGCCACAAAATACCGGACATGCCAGGTCGCGTCAAAACATGCAGACATGCACCGAAGCCTAGCGGGGGGGGGGGGGGGCAACACACAGCCACACACCCGGGGCCAAGGAGAAAAACCAGCGCCAGGAACTTCCCGAAACGTACCAAACACGGAAGGAAGCATAGCGTTTGGATTACAAGCCGTTCAAGGAATAAGCGAGGAACAAGGAGGAAAAAAGCAGGACTGGACGGCCAAAGGCGCCACGTTCAACTCAACCAAAATATGCTGTAATCAAAAGTAAAGAGATTTACCCGTCGTGCGCTACCAAGCGTCCCGCCCTCTCGGTCGGTCGGCGCAGCCCCGAGTGACCCCCGCGTCAGCCAGCCGGGGACAGCGCGCGGCGCGGCGCGGGGCGGGTCCGCCAGCAGAGGGTCCAGCAGGCAGGCAGGCAGACGGGCGGGCTCCGGGGGCGGCGGCGGCGGCGGCGGAGCAGGCCATGCCGGCACCCGGCTCAGGTCACACACATACCAGTCAGGCTCCTGGGCACAGTGAACGCAGCCCAGAATTACCTGCTGATATTTGTGCGCGCCCAGCCGGCGGCAGCAGCAGCAGCGCCTCTGGCGGAGACGTCCCGAAGTAGCCCCGGCGCGGGGACGGCCCGCGGTCCCGGCGAGCTCAGACCGCAAGCGAAAACCACCACACTCACACACACACACACGACCCCACTGAGTCCCCGTCACAGGGGCCAGTCTGAGACCCGCAGACCCGCAGGCCGGAGCCAGAGTCCCACTGAGGACCGGTACCGGTACCTACCGTCCGACTTGAGCGCCAGGATCAGCTGCTCCTTGCGGTCCAGCTGCTCGTTGAGCCGGTTGGCCGCCTTCAGACCGGCACTGGCCTCCGACAGCTGGGTCTGCAGGGCAGAGGGAGACAAAGGGCCGTGAACACAAGGGCAACACGAGCCGAAACGGGCATATATTGGACCAGTGACAACGAGCCGGGAGAAAATAACGCGTAGTGCGATGCTCAGGAAATCATTTGTCACTCGCAATCATCCATTTATTCTTCTCATTGATTATAATTATTATAATTAAAAAAAAATACACACATTGATATCTACATACACTTACCTTGAGAGTTGCCACCTGCTCCTCTAGTTCTTTGGTCTGCCGCTTGGCAGCGCTGGTGGCCAGTTCCACCTCCCGTCGCTTTTCTCGCTGGAACTGTTCGAGCACGCGCTGCAGGTTGTTCAGCGACTGCGTGACGTCATCCAGTTGCAGTGTGACGTCATCGCGCTGCTGCGAGACGGTCATCAGCTGCTCCTGGAGGGACTCGATGGTCTGAGAGGCCGCCTCACTGCGGAAGGAAGGCGGCATAATTATCAGCGATTGTTAAACACTACTCATACTCGGAAATGCTATAAAGAGAATGACGATGGCTGTGTGTAAATTAACTACATTAGTTATGAGCAGATATTCACAAAGGTCCCCACCTCTCGGCGTTGAGGTGCTGCTCAGAGGTGATCCGCTCGCGCAGCGCCGCCTCGCGCTGTTCGGCGTGCAGCGCCTCCTGGGTGTAGTTGTCCTCGATGGTGACTAGATGCTCGCGGAGCCGGCGGAGTTCGGTCTGCAGCCGCCGCTCGGCCTCCTCCAGCTGGTCGGACTGGAGGTACAGACGGCGGGGGTTAGACACGGTACCATCACTGACAGCGACACCAGCGCTGCCGTGTATAGCGACTCAGCTGAGCATGCAGTAACCTGTATAGCCAGCACTAGTCAGTACAGAGGAAATGATTGAATGCTAAAATATTGACGTTAACAGCATAACGGTGTAGGAAGGCATAAAACAATGACAGTTAAGCTGTCTTGATTTGTCATTCTGGCACTTTATTTTACTATGACGACTAGCAGATGTAGCCAAAATTTCACCATCCGCCTCCCCTGGCTCTCACCTTGTTCTGGAGGTCGTGCACGGTCTGGTTGCGCTCCTGCAGCGTCACCAGCAGCTGATCCTGACTGGCGCGCAGCTGCGAGCACTGCGCCAGCGCCTCGTCCCTGGCGCGCCGCGTCTGCGCCAGCTGCGCAGCCGTCAGCTGCAGCTGCTCGGCCTGCTGGCCGCCGGCCGCCGACAGCCGCTGGATCTCGGCGTGGTACTGCACGCTCTCCGAGTGTTTCTGGTTGAGCGCGGCGATCAGCTGTTGGCGCTCGCCGGCACAGACGTCCCGCTCGGCGGACAGCCGGCGGCCCAGCTCTGCCAGCTCCGTCAGACGGCTGAGCGCCGCCGCGGCCGCCTCGATGGCCGCCGCCGGGTCCGCGGGCTGCGAGGGGGACTCTGACGGGGCGCCGGCCGGATCGGACGGCGGGGACTGGGTCTCTGCCGGTCCACCGGCCGGCTCTCCGGACCGCTCCTCTGTCGACTCAGAGTGGCCGCCACTCTGCGCGGCGCTCCCCGCCGATGACTCTATGATGGAGGAGAGCCGCCGCCAGGCGTCCAGCTCCACCTCGAGCCGCTGGCAGCGCTCCAGCGCGCGCACCAGCTCCCCGGAGCTGCCCGACTTTTCTGCCAGCTGCGCCCGCAGCAGGTCCCGCTCCTCGCCGGAGCTGTGTACCAGCGCGCCCAGCCGCTCCGACTCCTCCCGCAGCTGGGCCTGCAGCTTCCTCCGCTCCTCATCAAACTGCTGAATCAGTGAGGTCACTGTCCCCTTTTCTTCAGCTAACTGCACGCTTAGCTTTTCCTGGTCCTCAGTGAACTTTTGAACCAACAAATTAAGACGATCGTTTTCCTGCGCGAGCTGCGTTCGAAGACTCTCCGCTTCTCCGTCAGATTTTTCGATGGCCAAGCTAAGTTTCTCTCTTTCTTCCGCTAGTTCTGTTCTAAGTTTTTCCTTTTCCCTGTCCGCCTCCTGGATGGCCAAATTCAGTTTGTCTTTCTCCGATAAAACGATGTTGTGCTCCTCTTTGATTTCTTTCTTTTCAGCTTCGATATTGCTTACCGTTGTAAGCAGATTTTCATTTGCCAGTTTCACCTCGTCCAGCTCTTTCAGCATGGTGTTTAGCCGGTCATTTTCAGACTGGACGATGTCACGCTGCTGTTGGATGACTTTCTTTTCCTCCTCTGCCGCAGTCAGTTTGTCAAGCAGACCCTGGTTGTCCAGTTTCAGCGCCTCTACCTCCTGGATCATCCTGGAGAGCTCCACTGCCTCGTCCGTCAGCTGGCTGGCCGAGGCGCGCTGGGCGGCCAGCTCGGCCCTCAGCTCTGCCAGCTCCGTGTCCTGGGTCTGACAGCGCGCCGCCAGCTCGGCCTGCTCAGCCCTCAGCTCCGCCAGCTCCGAGTCCTGGGTCTGACAGCGCGCGGCCAGCTCGGCCTGCTCAGCCCTCAGCTCCGCCAGCTCCGAGTCCTGGGTCTGACAGCGCCCCACCAGCTGTACCTGTTCGGCCCTCAGCTCCGCCAGCTCCGTGTCCTGGGTCTGACAGCGCGCTGCCAGCTCGGCCTGCTCGTAGCGCAGCTGCTCCTCCCGCTCCCGGCCCTCCTCCCTGGCGTCCAGCAGCTGCTGCAGCTGCTGGAGGCTGCTCAGTGCCTCGTCCCGCTGTCGCTCCGCCGCCAGTCGCGCCATCTGCTCCTCCAGCCCGCTCTGTATCGGCCCGCCCTCCCCTCCTCTCTCTAACTGCACGGCCTCCAGTCCTCTCTCCAGCTGTCCGCTCTCCAGCCGGTCGCAGTCCTCTGCCTCCTCCAGGTGCGCCAGCTGCCGCAGCCGCGCCACCTCCGCCTCCAGCTCGGCCACCCGCTCGGCGTCCTCCGAGATGGTCTCCAGCTTCTCGGTGGAGCCGAGCAGCCGCTCCTGCTCCAGCTCCTGGAGCCGCTCCTGCGCCGCCAGCCGCTCGGCGCGCTCCTGCTCCAGCTGCCGGCCGGCCTCCTGCGCGCGCCACTGCAGCTCCTTAATGGCCGCCTCCAGCCAGTCGAGCAGAGAGGCCGTGCACGAGTTGGACGCGAAGATGTCCTCAGAGTTGAAGAGCGTGGCCAGCTCGAGCAGCCGCAGCCCGGTCTGCCGGTGCTCCTCGGTCAGGGAGGGAGGCAGCGCGCCGCCAGACTCGAGCGCGTCCAGCTGCTCCGTCAGCTCACTGACCGAGCTCTGCAGCGTGTCGCTGAGCTCCTCGAGCTCCCGGCAGCGGCGCACGGCCAGCGCGCCCAGTCGCGCCTGCCGCTGCTGCTGCGACTGCAGCCGCTCAATGAGGGAGACCAGCGCGGAGACTGGGGCGGAGGGGCCGTCTGAGGGCTCAGCAGAGGCGAGCGGCGGGGCAGAGGAACCGAGAGAGGCCAGGATCTGGGAGACAGAGACTCGCAGCTCCTCACCGTCAGACGTCAGCTTGGTGAGACGCTCCAACAGACTACTGTGGTCGATTGATGTCGGCTCCTCTCCATCCCCGGCATGATCGAGAGCCTGAACGGCGATAAGGTCTGGATGGTGTGTGGGTTTTATGGCGCCCTCTACCGAGTTGACGTGCGCCTTGACGACAGTGTCTTCTTCGACTGGTTGGTGGTTGGACGGGTGCTCGTTGAGCAGCGCCTCCGCCTGCGCCTTCTCTGCCTGCAGCTGTTCAGTGGCCGCGCTCAGACTTTGCTCAGCGTCCCGCAGCTGCAGTTCCAGCTGCTCCAGCCGGCCGGCCAGCGCCGCCTTCTCTGAGGCCGTGCCGTCCAGCTCGCGGAGTTTCAGCTCCAGCTGCTGTTCAGCGGCCTCCCTCAGCCGCCGCTCCTGGGTGAGTTGGTCCGCGGAGACCGATACCTCGGCCGCCTCCCGCTCCCTCTGAGCGAGCCCCTCCGCCAACTCGTCCCTGGCCGCCGTCAGGAGCGCCGTCTCCTGCTCCTTCTGACTCAGCTGGGCCGTCAGGTCATCCTGGGCAGTCGTCAGCGCCGCGGTCTCACTCTTCTTCTGAAGCAGCTTTTCCGAGAGTTCGTCTCTGCTGGCAATCGAAGCATCAAACTCCTCAGTTTTCTTCTGAATTTTCTCATTCAGAGCATCATTTTCCTCTTTAGCTTCTCCTAATTTCTCGATAAGTTGGTCTCTTTCAGAGCTCAGGGCGGCGAGCTCTGCCGTTTGATGTCGCAACTTTTCGGAAATTTCGCCTCTTTCCGTCTCTGAGGAGGCCTGGTTTTGTTCCTGAATTTGTAGCCTCTCCAGTAATGATTTCCGTTCATTGTCGAGGACGCTGAGTTCCTGTTCCTTCTCCCGCAGTCTCGCCAGCAGCCCCTCCCTCTCCGCCTCTGCCGCCTCGGCCTGCTGCTGCTGGCTCTGCAGCTTCTCCAGCAGCTGGTCCCTGCTGGCCGTCAGCTCGGCCACCTCCCGCGCCCTCCTCTCCTCCTCCTCCCGTTCCCTACCCTCCTCCTCCACACTCTTCTCCTCCTCCCGTGGCTGGCCGCTCTCCTGCAGTCGCGTCTGTAGTTCATCCCTCTCCGCAGTCAGCGCCGCCGCCCGCTGCTCCGCCTCTGACAGTGAGCTCTGCAGTCGGTCCTTCTCCGCAGCCAGCGCCGCCGCCCGCTGCTCCGCCTCTGACAGTGAGTCCCGCAGCCGGTCCTTCTCCGCAATCAGCTCTGCCGTCTGATCAGCGCCCGCCTTCAGCCGGTCCAGCAGCTCGTCCCTGGCCGTGGTCAGCAGGCGGGCCTCGTCCTCAGCAGCCAGCAGCCGCTCCCGGAGGGCGGCGGACTCTTCGCGGCCCCGCTGCAGCTGCTCTGTAACCGCAGGGAGGGGGAGGGAGGGAGGGAGGTGAGTCAGCCGTGTGACCAGGTGCGCTGCCGTCAGGGCGGCGGAGGCGGCACAGGTGCCCGCCGTCGGCGGGTGGTGACGTGGCGCAGCCGGGACGGCGGCGGACCGACCACCGCACTCTGCACAGGGCACCACCGACCACCGCACTCTGACAGGGCGCCACCGACCACCGTACACCCCGGTCTGCCAGGGAGGCACCGCCCTGATCGGCCGACAGGTTATGTGAATATAACGCCAAATACGAAACCCGCTAATGTCAAACACCGCTCAGGAAACGAAATGACGAATCGCCGAGTCGTAATTCATGCTTAGATCATTGAGCTTTAACACCAGAGGGGCGTAGAGGCTTCTATATCTCCGTGGGTGGGAGGAAAGAGAGTGTGTAATTTATAATCCTCTCATATTTATAAGACAGAGACCCATTAGTGAATCCAATCTTCCCCGATTTCATTACTTTGCCCATATTGAAAGGTGCCATCAGTTTAGCAAAGTGCTCTGCTGAGCCCCGCAAAGTCCGGCCGCTGAGCCCCGCTAGGTCCGGCCGCCAGCCGCTGGATCCGGGGCGGCGTCGGCTGGCTCCGTGTTATCCGTTATTGCGGCCCAGATAGTGTATCGGCGTGTCCAAACAGCGGCGGCCGGCGGCGCCGAGCCAGGCTCAATATCGGCTGCGATACACGGCCGGCGCGGAGCGGCACAGCGCCGCCGAGCGCCCCCGCTCTGCGGAAAACCGACACCGGGGCGCCAGACTGGGTGTACCGGCTCATAGCGCAGTGTGGGGCAGCTCACAGCACGCGAAAGAGGCAACCCGTACCACGCAATACCGGAAACCACCAGCCCACCAAGCGGCTCCTCATCCAGCAGTGACTCACGAGAAATACGAGTATCACGGGACGAGCCGCGTTCGACCATTAGTACACTTTTGAAACGCGGACTCGGTATTTACTGGGATCTATTGGGATAACACGGGGTTCATTGCGAGAAAACGTATGACTTGGGGAAATGCCTCCATTTCCAGCTACCACTCACCGTTGGCGGCCTGGTTCTGCAGGTCAAGCTCCTCCAGGCTGGCCACCAGCCCCTCCTTCTCCTCGCTGGTCTCTGTCAGACCGGCCCTCAGCGTGCTTAGCTCCTCCGCGGCCTGCTGCAGCTGCGCCCGCAGCTCCTCCCGCTCCGTCTGGGTCTGCTGTTGCTCGGCGCTCAGCGCGTCCCTCTCGCCGGTCAGCCGGCTGAGGTCCGCAGTCAGCCGGTCCCGCTCCGCGCCGGTCTCCTCCAGCCGGGCGGCCAGACGGTCCCGCTCAGCAGTGAGCTGCTGGAGCGTGGTCCGCAGCCGCTGCTGCCGCCGGCGCAGGTCCGCCTCCTCCGCCGAGGGCTCCTCCGCGGCCGCCTGGGAGGCGGCCGGCTCCTCCACCGGCGCGCCGCCAGCCGCAGCGTCCGAGCCATTCTCCTGCTGAAGGGACACGGCACGGGAGACGTCAGACTACAGTCCGGACCGATGTATTAAAACGGCAAACTGGGACAGGAGCGGGCGGGCAGAGCTATGGAAAGGTAGTTATTGTGTATTGGTCGCACTAAGCATTTACAAATGAGACTTTTACGGCCTCATCAGTACAGCTAAAAGGCCTCTGCCGTGTGCTACAAATGCAGACCACTAAACGGTCCCCACCGTTTGATATAAACGGATAAAAACGGGGCGTCATCGCTCTGCATCCCACCCCTATTACGGCCAACACCTGAGCCGTCGCCGTTTAATTAATCTGCCCTCACCGCCCGTATGATAAGCCGTCAACATCCCATTAGTGGCGGATTACTGCGGGACTGGGGTCGGGTGGGGTCGGGCCGGGGTCGGGTGGGTGCCACCGCCGTCCCGTTCCGCGCAGCTGCGGCCGTGTGTCGGCGGTGCGCCGGCCGACCCGCGCGGCGCCGCGCAGCTCCCCGCGGCCTGTCGCGGGCCGCGGCGACATGCGGGCGGACCGTGGAGGTGCACAGGTGTGCCGGCGCGGTCGATAGGCGGCCCGCAGACAGCGCCGGGAACCGACAGCTGGCCGCCGCCGCCGCCTATCTTATCGGCCGGGCGGCGCGGCAGCCGCGGTCCCAGCGCCGAGCCGCCGTGACGGTCCGCCCGTGTCCGGTCAGCGCCCGCTGGACGTCCCCTCGGCCCACACCCAGCCGACCACCGCGGGCCGCACCCTCCTCCCGGTCCCCGCCCCGCTCAGCGACTGCAACAGGGCACAGAAACACAGCACCGACACTCACCGCAGCCGGCGGCCGGCGCAGCTGCTGGAGCTGCTGCTGGTGGCTGTCCTGCAGCGCCGCCAGCTGCTCCTGGTGCGCGTCCACCGTCCGCTGCAGCTGCTGCTCCAGCTCCTGAGGACAGAGCGGTCACCGTGAGCACTGGTGGAGGGCAGACCCTGTGACTGCCTGGACTCGGCTGCTGCCGCTGCACTCACCGGCGGTACCCGGCCGTACCGTACATACAGCGTGCTGCAGTACAGACACACACGTTTTCCTGTTCTGTCGCCTTCCTCCCCTCCCCTACAGCGAAATACCGTACAGATTACACGATATCCGTGCGGCAGCCTTGGTTCAGAGGTGAAAACAACTGCGGCGCCCATGATCACTCCCTTCAACTCATGGACATTTTCATTGTATCGCTACAAAGAAATAACTGAGAAACAAGATGGTTACCCCAAATTGCTGGCTCAAGACAAATAAAAAGAGCCAGGCCGCATGACCGAGCAACTCTGGCACGGAGCGGGGATATGGCTGCAGATTCCAGCCGTTCTGTCGGCTAAACCCTGGTGAGAGTAATCTCTGCACCAAGGACAGCCGCGGCGGCTGAGAGCGCCGCCCGGCGCCGCGGCCGACGCCAGCTCCGTGAACACGGCGCGCCGCACGGACACAATGCGCCGATTGGCAACGCACGCAACCGGCGCGGCGGGGCGGGCACCGCGGCGAGACGGCACACGGACATAGCAGGCTTCGGGGTAGGCTGCGAGCGGGCGACAGGGCTGCGAGCGGGCGTAGAGTAACAGGGTCCCAACTCGAGCCCTCGACAAAACATTGAACTGGTTATGAACTAAGAATCGTGCCATTCCTGGCTCCTGATAATGGCATAATAAAACAATGCCGGCCATTTTGTCTGTCTGCATCGTCACGCCGGCTGTGTCGGCCGACGGCGGCCCCGCGCGCCGGTCCCGCCCTCACGTGACACGTGGCACCCGGCCGCTGACACGTGGCATTGTCCCCCCCCCCGTCACAGCGAGGACCCGTTCAGCGGCCGCCGGTACAGGTGGCGGCCGTCGGGCGGCCCTCGGCACCGCCGCATCCATGCATGTCCCAGTCCGTGGTCCGTCCGGCCAGCCCGCAGGGGTCACAGTAGCCTCCACCAGTCGAGCAGCGGACAAAGTTGAGAGCAGTGCGGACAAAGTAACGGCGACATCAGGCGATCCCTCGGCCCGGTGGAGGTCCTCTCCAATGGAACATGATCCTCTTGGTGGGATAGCAAGGCTAAATTGGAAAAAATCACCTATATTAGTGCAAATGTTGAAATATGTCTCCCTAGTGCCTTGCAGAGTCGTTGTTCGGCCGTCCAGTGCCCAGTACCGACGCCAGTCACATGGCGGCGCCCGGGCCGCGTGCACACGGAAAGCCCCGCTCGGTGCGGCGACAGGAGCGACAGCGGCGGCCCGACGGTCAATAGCGTCCGCTGGCCCAGCGAACGGCGTACCGCCGCGTCCGCTCAGAGCGGCACCTGATCCTGCCTGGCCGGCACCCTGTACCTAACGGTGTACCAGCAGCAGCAGGTATCGGCGGCAGAAGGCCGCGCCACCGACCGCCGATCCCGCCCCTGCCCCTGCCACCGCCGCCGCCGCTGTGGCCGGCGTGCTTTGCCCTCTGTTCTACGAGGAAAAAGCCAGTCGGCGGCGGCGTCCAGTCGCGAGCGGCGAGACCTTCAATTCACCGCAATTTCTGGCGATTTTTGCAGCAAACCGGTCGGTCTGGTTGGCCGGCCAAAAGCGCCAGTTGGCGCGCCGGCCGGGCGTGTGGTGCCGCAGCGCGGCCGGCCAGCACGCCGGAGGTGGCCGGCCAGCACGCCGGAGGTGGCCGGCCGGCGGAGCAGCGCCGCGCGTGACGCCCCACACAGACGCCGGCGGCCGGGCCGAGCTGGCGCGCGCCCGAGGACGCCGGTAGGACCGCCTCCGTACCCGGGTCCGCCGCGCTGGCGAGCGACGCCGAGGCACTCCGTGCTAGACGTTGCATGGGATAAGGCCGGCGTCAGGCCGAACCCGCCCGGGACGGATCTTGGCTGGCATCGCGTGACCGGCGGTGGCAGCGGCCGGGCCGCCTGCCTGCAGCCACTCCGAGAAACGGGGGTCGGAAACACACGCCCCTACCGTGAGCTGCGTCAGGGGAGAAAAACGTACTTCGGTGCATTGGGAATGGAATATCCCGGTAATGGGGGCTAATGGAGAACACGGGTTCGGAATTGACCAAAAGAACGCCACGGCACTTGGAAAGGAGCAGGCTCAGCATCTTCACCAGAAGCGAAGGCCTCCTCAGTTCTCCGTTTGGGACGGATTATCGGTACGCGGTGAGAGGCGTCCGAACGGCGCTGGGTACGTATATACCCCGCGCCGAGACCGAGCCGGAATTTCCCCGGGCGCCGCGGCCGCCGGCGGCCGCCCCCCGTTATTTGGAGTGGCGCTATCTTTGGCGCGGAGATCCTGCGACTCTCGGACGCCGCTGCTGACCGGCCCGACCGGTCTGCCGTCGGAGCCGCCCGCCCGGCAGCGGCCAGTCGCCGCGGTCCGACGGCAGCTCCGAGCCCAGACAGCCCAAACGGCCAGCCTCCGTCTGCACAGCGGCGGCCGTCACCTGGAGTTGCGGCGGCCTCCCTCCCTTCCGGGCCCCACTCACGAGAACCGTGCGTAAGCAGGTTCACTGAACGTTCGAGTACGCCCACGGCCCGTTACGAATGTCCCAAGGAGCGCATCTCCATACGATTTACATTCTGCACGGCCGCTGCTGCCCTTCCATTTCCGTCGCGCAGGAACCTGTTGACTGGTCACGTAGCTGGGAGGGCGGTGAACGAGTCCATGGCGCAGCCGAGCACGCCCCGGCGGCCGGCCGTGCGCCGTGCCCCCGCATAGAGACGTGATGTAGCCGGCAGCCGGCCCGGTCGGGGCGTGACAGAGCCGTGACCGGGGCGCCGCCACCGGCCCACCGCACACTGGTCGGAAACGCTCCAGCGAGAGGCCAGCGGCCTTTCCGCAAAAGTTTTTTGCTTGTTATTCCACAACTAGTGAAGCAAACTTCATAAAACTTTGCATACCTTCTCTGTCATATGTAAGCTATCATTTAGATGTCAAGCACTAAATATATGACATGAATCTGTTAAGTTATGACGTCATAATTGAGTATAATACAGGATCTAGCACCACTTTAAGTCAACAAGGGAAATTGGGAGCTGCTATTCGGGCACCGGGAATGGTTTCATGCACTCCTTGCAAGGTCCAGTGCTTGACTTTGGCATTGTTGACTTTGCGTGACGTCATTTATGACGTCACTAAGGCCATGTAAGTTTTTCGTCAATAACTCCTGATCAGATGGAGCTAGAGAGTCGGGAAAGCCACCATTGGACTCAGGAAGACCTGCCGAATCGAATGATATGCGATATAACCTCCTTCAACCATTTTCGTGACCTGAGGAGCTCCGACCTAACCTTGACCCGAGGTTAACACCTTAACCCTCGCCGGCACAGGGGGGGGGGGGTGATGCAACCCCCCCCCCCCAAGGTTTTTCGCGAATAACTCGCGTAAAAAGCGGCCGATCGCGACGAAACTTTCAGTACCCTCGCATTGATCAATTTTACACGTTCCCTGAAAATTTCATGACCCTGACCCCAATGACCTTTGACCTGTGACCTCTTTTCCGTGACCATGTTTGGCCGAACTCGCGATTCGGCGTATGTCGGCTCGCATTAGCCGCGCGTTTGCAAGCTTTTCGTGGTTTCAAACGTTCGAACATGTGATTTGATGTTGCTCCCATACATTAGGGTGGGTGTCAAGGTCACCTGAAGGTCAGGTCAGGTCATTGACCTTTGGTGACCTCGGGTGACCTCGATTCACTTTTTCGAGTTTTACATGTTTCTAGGCTAGTTTTTGGAGCGGAATTCGAATTTAGCAACCATTTGAACATTTACGAAGTAGTTTTGGTGCCTTCGTAACATGTTACGAAGCTGTCAGAGGCGGTTGACACGTGTTACGAATACCCGTCACAACCCCTACCGGTTGACCTGACCTGACCTGACCCGACCTGGTCTAAATGCTTAAAAACATCATCTCTGATCAAAACTAACACGATACTCGTGATCAGCACCCCGGAAAACCACATAGCAGCCACACTTTACGACTTTCTTACAGGTCCCGATTTTCCCGGTTTTCGGGTCATTGACCTGACCTGGAAGGTCAACCGATGGCCTAGGACCTTAAAATTGGGTATCATCGGCTTCGTCTCGTGACGGGCAACACGCTCGTTTTTTCCGCGAAGCTCTAGCTCGATCAGGGGCCAAACGCGAGGGGGGGTCGTACCAACCCCCCCCCCCCCTTGTGCCGTCGAAGGACGCAAAATGGCCTGTGCCGACGAGGGTTAAGTTGACTTCACCCGAACACCAAGTATAGCATTCAACGCGCCTGAGCTAGACAAACACGATTATGCCAAAATCGCGGCAGTGCGACCATTTTTGGCAAAGTAATTAACCTAAAACCGAGCCCGTGCCTTGTGGCACTTACCTGACCTAAGAGGTCACTGGCTGACCTAAGACCTTAAAATCGGGTAGTACCTAATTTTTGCGTCTTATAACGGCACACAAGCTTGTTTTTTCCGCGAGGCTCTAGCTCAATTAGAGGCGAAACGGCGAGGGAGTTGTACCAACCCTCCCCGGTCAATGTAGAAAACCAATCGGTCCGGCCAGGGTTAAATACCGGAATTGTGATCTAATGTAAAAAGACGGCCCAAGGTAACCCGACGTCAGTGACAGGTGTCCTATATTTGCAGCGTCTTGTATTCACGAAGGTTTCAATTTCCACTTTCTTCAGCCGAGTGATGGTTGTCAATAGCAAGGCTCTCTAAATGCAAGCCGTAATCGCCACGCAATATGTGGAAGGCTTTTGACGTCAATACATACATAAGTGCATACATAAAACGCGCTTTTCACAAAATTCATAAACTCAAGCGCATCTGTTTTTAATGACCAGTCAACTACGCATGGATGCGTGCAGGCCACACAGGTCAGCGTAAGCCGGGCGCGGCGGCCGAGCCGAAACTGGGGCGGGGCGGGCAGTAGTTGGGTAGGAAGAGCGGCTCCTGCAAATTTTGCGCAAATATGCGCAATTAGCTTTTATGTTGCCCTGGTGTAAATTTAAATCCTACTTCATCTCACAAAAAATCAGAGTGGAACTAGATGGGACTACCTGTTGTTTCCTTACCTAAACTTTGCAGTTATATTCCAGAATCACTGTAGGAGAGCCTTCATAAAAAAGCTATAGTACATCTTAGTTAGGGAAAAAGTATGCCAAAAATTTTGCACTGACCAGTCGGCAACTTCATAACGAACATTTTGATGCATAATATGTGGGATTTCAATTTGGTGTCTATCAGCAATAAGACTCTGAATATCCGGCTCAAGAAACCTCTTGCTCCGCGTCAGTTTCCCGAGTTCTGGGATACCCCATCTTCGGGGGCTGATTGCAGCTATTTTTGGTCACCCGGATTAGTTTTTTTGGCCTAAGTATAATAATTTGATCAATTTCAAATCGATCTATATAAAAAATAATCCGAAACTCCGGAATCGCCCGTGGCCTCTCGTGAGGGCGTTTCCGACCAGTGTGCACCGGCCCGGGCGGAGCGGGCAGACGGAGAGGGGTGGGACCGCCGGACCGAGCGAGGTGGGACCAAAGACCCCGGTGACTCAGCTCGGAGAGATGGACAGGTCCGACACTGGCCGGAGACGGACGGCAGCGCCCCTTGCGGCGATCCCTGACACGGGTGACAGACCAATGGGTCACTGTCTGGTGGTTTGAACGTGAACAGGGGATCCTGAGACATGGGAAGACAGCCACTCGACCTGGTACCCACGGCACCCACTTGGCCAGTCATCATCTCGACACCTGTCCCGCCCCTCAACACCCCAGCACTTCTGTAACCAGTCAACAGTTCAGCACCCCGTCTGACCAGACTCCGCCATCCCGCCCCTCCCGGCCGGTCAGTCGGCACAGTTTCCCAGTGCCGGCCGCTGCGGCGGCGCGCCGTCCAAAGTACGGCGGCCGTCCACCGACCCAGCCTCCGACGGAGGTCCACCGGATTGTAAAACTGATAGTGCATTCTGCTGCGGACTCAGTTCTCACGAACCAAGCGGCGCTACGAAAAAAAAACTCGCACTCAGCGCAGCGAGCAGCGCTTGAGACGGATTCAAATTACAGAACTTAGATAAGACAGGTTAATGTTGTAAGAACATACCTATCCCACGGATATACTAAACGTAAAAATGCAGCTTAGCCTGAAACCGCAAAACGGCAGAGAAGCTTGCTAACACACGAAACAAGTGTTAGCAAATGCACAAACAGATTTGATGTGTCACCAGAAACGTTGCGCAAATGCCAGTGTGAGCACATGCCGCCTTCTGAGGCCTAAGTAGTAAGCATATATTTGTCGGCAAACCAGGCAACTGTTACCGCCACCGCTGACTTGTCCTTTAGTCCAACTCTCGCCTCTGACCTGACCCATCCCCGTCCCCATAGCCTCACCACACTGACCTGTATCCGTTCCTCCAGCGACCGGGTGTGTTCGGCGGTTCCATGCCGCTCGTCCGGCTCCAGCTGCAACAGAGGGCGAGGGGCGCGGCTGTCAGCGGATTGTCGGGAGCCCGGGGAGCGCCGTGTGCAGTACACACACAGGGCGGTGCAGCGGCGGCCCGGTCACACACGGCACCGGACGGGTCAGGGCCGCATACCTGCCGCGGCGGTCGGCGCTGCGCACGGCGGATAATTCCGCGGCGGTCGGCGCTGCACTCGGCGGATCATTCCGCGGCGGAGGCCGGCTCACGCACGGTCCGCGGCGGTGGCACTCCGCACTCCGCACTCCGCACTCCGCACAGTGCAGTTACCGCAGCCGACACAGCCCGCCCCGTACCCCGCCCCGTCCCCCGCCCCTGACACCGACACCGGACGGGCGGGACACCGGAGCCGGCCGGCACCCTCCCCGTGTATACCGTCCGGCTTTACTGCGGGGGAACAGATCGGCCAGCGGTCTGGGGCAGGTCAGTGAGGGACATGACCTTCAAAAACGCTCGCAGCACCTGGTCAATGGTCACATAAGTCAATCAGCAGCTTTTAGTTGTTTGACTGCCAATGAACGATTCCAATTTCAAAAAACCTTGCAGGAAGTTGGTTAATTTAGGGCTTAGCAATTTGATTTTCGTTTAAAAGGTCCTTACATGTTTCAGCCCCAGAGACTCTTTACTGCACCGCCCTGAGGTCGCAGCGTTCCGAGTCCCCCAGGAAGCGCGTGCCGCTGCGGCGCGCCGGTGGCGGCGTTTTTCCTTTCCGTCTGTGGCGGCGCCGTGACGGGATAATGACGACCGTTCGGCCGTCACGTACGCCGCCAACCAGCCAATCAGACGTGACGTGAGCCGCGCACCGGCCGATCAGACGTGACGCGAAATACGGCGCCGCGCCATTGTTCGCCCGGACTCGGACTGCTCCCACGGAGTCCGGACTCCGGACTCCAGAGTCCGGACTCCAGACTGCAGGCACTCCGCCCACGGGTCACAGGGACCAGCAAACGGTAGCGTCATAGAGCCGGCAAAAACCAGCCATAGCGGCTATTACAGTGTGGAACAGTCTGCAGCGGCGCCGTGGTGCGGGTTCACCGCGTACAGGTTTGAATCGAACGCGATCGGCTCTACCATGGATCTCGGTTTGTCACGGTATACAGAGGTCTATGGCTTCACAATTGCAGGGTAAATTCCACTCCGTTTCACCGTGCTGGATGGAGTTCTGTGCTGTGTGCCCTGTAAGGATACTCTGAGCAGCGTTCGACCCCGCCCGGCGTCCACCGGCCGCGGAAACTGAGACCGACACGGGAAAACAGGGCGCGCCGGCAGCACGCCCCTGTCGGCCACGGCCGGTGCACGGCACCACAGAACTAGCAGCGGCGCAGACACCAGAGTGGGACACCACGTCACCCTCCGACCATCGGGGCACCACGCCGGGCCGAACATTCCACATTGGTGGCGTCAGAGGCGGAGAGCCAGCCAGCCGGCCGGCGGTCCACCTACGAATCGGATCAAGTCACGGAATGCCAGCGATGCCCTGATGATATGCCATTATGTAAGAATGGCCTATCAATTTCTCAGTCCCACTTGAGAATCGATCGATAGACTTGTTGAGCAGGCACTTGAGGCAGATAGAAAGGTCGAGGGTTATTGAAAAGTAATACGCCGTACTATGACACTTGAGAAATTCAAAACATATGATATGGCAAGAGACAGTGCATTGTGCAGTAAAAGCCGTCCTTCACGTCCAACCGTAAAGGTTTGGCCACTCACCCAGTCGTCGCCACATACAGCAGAGGTCCGGCCCACTCTGGTCTCGCTGAGCCCACTGCCTGCCGGCGCCGCCCGGTTCGCAGTCGGTCCGCCAGTCTGCCACCCACGCCCCACCTGAGGCCCCGGCCGCGGCGGCCGCGGCGGACCGGGCGTGCCCTATCGGTGCTGTGGCGACGGCGGCCCGCCTGCCGGCGGCCCCAGGTGTGCACAGCACCGTCCGCCGCCCGCCGCCTCGGTCCCAACGGCGTCCGGCGGCCGGCGACGGCAAATGTTTGCCGAAAACACGCCACCGAGACGGTGTCGAAACGGCCCGAGGAGCACGTCACGTCCTGTGACGGAACGGCGTCACGTCCTGGCCTGGCCGTCACAGGCCGCCACGTACTGGTATGGCTGTCAGGCCGACGTCACGTCACGGTCACAGACCAACGTCACGTCCCGGCCACGTCGTCACGGACTGACGTCAGGTCGCCGTCGTCGCCATACTCCGTCCATGCGTCACATCCGTCAATTCGTTAGACGCCAGTCCTGCGGTCTGTGTTTGAGGCAGCACTGCAGCGAGTGCAGAAATGTGCAGAAATATAGACTGGTGAGACAGCCAAACGCTATACGTATATTTTATACCTATATTTATAAATCAAGCCCCAAAGATCGCACAGCAGATTTTGACAAAGGGGCGCCAGTCATTACCGTTTACCCTATACGGTCGGGGCGGTCCAAAACAGGCGCAGGTAGACGTCTAGAGCTGCTTTTCTTCGGAAAGTGATGACACATTAAATGTCTACAACCGTCACCACTTGGTAACATACTTGAATTACTACTGATAGTTTTGATTTAGATAGCAGCTTGTCCGTTATGGCAAACGCTCGTTGATCAGAGCTACTGTTAACGCCAGACCCCTTGAGACCCTAATTTTTCGCGATTACTTTTAAATGCGTGAAGGAATTTCAACCTAGCTCAGGACATGGCCGTTTCAAGACAGGCCGAAACTTTTACAATTTAGATATTTTATCGCCATTTCAATATTTCAGGCACTTGTCATTGACTCGTAATGTTAACTGTTTTTCCATCCTGGATAGAGGCTTTCTACGTCATATGACATTAGGCTCCGCCCACGACTGCGGCATTGACCCGTGCCCATCAGCGACCTCTGTACAAACGACACCCCTGCCATTTGTGAAGGACTATGAATTTCGCTGACGCTTCACGTGCTATGAGTCAATTGCAGCAGACGGTCAAGTAAATGTTAGGCTCTTGTTGACTCTTGTATATAGGACCAAGAGGACCATCACTCCTCAACCTACTACTCAGTCGTGCTTCGAACAAACGTTAACGATTCCTAACAAATACGATTTTCGATGTAGGGTATCTGTTTGAAATACGAGCGAGCCGTATGATGTGAAGCTCAGGCAATTAACTTATTATTGCGTTGTTCGATGGTTGCATAGCGATGTACAAATCGGCAGCTACTTGGTGACATCCGACATCCCATTATCGCATTATCTGCAACGCCATAGGCTTTAAATACAGGTGAATATTTCCTAACCTTATGTCAGTTATATGCCATCTGCCCGTCATTTGCAGCTTATAAAAAAAATATATATATCAGCGAACATATCAGCATTGTAGAAGCAATGCGCATTGAGCATTTATGACTCCTTAGTCATCATGTCGCTCTCTGGGCACTGTCAGCCAAGACGCTACGCACAACTCCGCCGGCTTTCGGCACCGCTCGACCGTCGCCCGTCCCCGCTCCCCGCCACAGCGAGAGTGACCGCGCGCCGGCCCGAAACCGCCGCAGGCCAAGACCACAGAGGCGGGGCTTAGCTGTGACGTCATAACGTATCACAGACTGACTGGTGATAGCCTCTACACACCGGATGAAAATCTTGCTCGAAATTTAACATTACGAGTCAATGACAAGTGCCTGAAATATTGAAATGGCGATAAAATATCTAAATTGTAAAAGTTTCGGCCTGTCTTGAAATGGCCATGTCCTGAGCTTGGTTGAAATTCCTTCACGCATTTAAAAGTAATCGCGAAAAATTAGGGTCTCAAGGGGTCTGGCGTTAACAGTAGAAAGTTGAGAGAGGAGCAGTTACGATACAGGTCACTTAATGAATATTGACCAGTCAAATGACACACAGTGACCGCTCAGGATGGCCTCGGTCGCAGGTCGCCAGAAAACGAATAATCGCCATTCACAGTTAGGGATAACTAAGGCAATGACCGAATGCATTATCACGCAGGGCGTCTACAGCAGCGCACCACACTCTAACGAGGTCGTCGGGGTTGACTCGGGGGTTTCCCGTTCGGCCCCGCTGCGGTCAGTGGACCCCGACTCGGAACAAATACAGTGACAGCGCAGCGGCCGGACGGGTCACCTCATCGGCGCGCCGCCGCGGCCGCTCCCGTCGCGGCGGAACAGCGATACAGCAGGCCGATTCGCCCAGTGTCCTGACAGCGGCGGCGGCGGCGCCTCTCGCTCTCAGTCTGTGCGGTCAGACTCGCCACCGCCGCCGCCCGGTCTCGGAGCCAGGTGTGCGGCGGCATTATTTACCGAGGGCGGCGCGAGGGGCGCCGGGGCGGCCGTCCCTCCTCTCCCTCCCTCCCTCCTTGCCGTCATACAATACATGCGCAGCACACGGGCGGCGTGGCCCTGCATATGTGGACCGGCGGACGGCGGGCAGGGTGGCCCGGGGTAGCGACGGAGCTGACCGGTTACCCCCCGGAGGAATGACCGTGTCATCCCTGGAGGGCGGGACAGACCGAGTGCCCGAGTGTTTTGGAGGGCAGCACAGCCCAGTCAATGCGAGTAGCCACCCTCCCATGTCCAGAGGGAGGCCAGTCGTGCACCAGTCCCCAGATCGGCACCCCACCACCGTCCAGGCCAGCCGGGATATTCCTCTAACTTCTAATCCGCCGACCAGTACAGAACGCGAGGTGATTATCGCTGGGAAGAAATGGCGTTCGTGCTGAGCGAATTAGCCTCTCAGGACTCTCAAAACAGGAACCGAACAAAACAAAAGTGCCCAGCTCAAGTTCGGCGTCATAACTGACCATTGATTGATGTACAGGGTGTCCCATAAGTTCGTTCTCACATTATGTTTGCATGTGAAACAGAGTACATTGCGTTTTGGTATATTCATGATAGAGGTGGCAAAATGTGGACCCGGGGACCCGGTCCAAAGAACCAGTCTGGACCCATATGGGTCCAGACCGGTTCCTGGAAATTTTCTGACGGGTCCAACCGGGTCCTACCATAAACTATACATCTTGCACATTACACATTATTGCAAAAATGAAGTGAATGAAGTGAATGTTTCTTTGCACACAGTAGCTCATGAGTATTCCCAGTGGGAAATAGGCTGTTTTACATGATGCAACTAATGATACCTACAAGTAGTTTGTATTAATTGACTTTTGGGGAACGGGTCCAACTGGTTCCGATTGCAACTAAGACCGGGTCCGACTGGTTCCAGAAATGTCCAGCCGGGTCTGGTTCGAGTCTGGTTCCCAAAATTTTCATCTTTTGCCACCTCTAATTCATGACCCCTCAATGTGCTCCCCATTTAATAGGCAAACACATGAATGCATGCTGCGGCATGCCAACCGGCATGTTTGGCTGCATAGCAGGCTTAAAGTTAACCCAGACTGACTTGACATGCGCCGTGAGCTCCTCGAGGCTGGAACAGCGCTACGCTTCGACGAGCCTCAACTTCAGCATAACCAACAAATTTTTTATGAAATTTTGATCCGATGAGGTGCCTGGCATGTGATCTTGCCACAAACGCCTGTCACAGTCTCCTTGCACCGCTTTTAAGCTTTGCTTGACCTGTGCACTGATGCACTGTCTTGCCTGAAGATGGGCCTACGACCTCCCGGATGCCATTTTCTCCTCTATAAATGTGTTCATACTCGCGGTCCGAGTTCAGTTTGAGGGCTGAAATTCCTCCTAGATGTTCTTGGAAAAGCATTCTGCTTCCCAAAACTGTTTCTGGGTTGCCACTTGTAACTTGATCAACTCCAGAACGCCTATAACCCCACAACACAGTGACCCTGGCCTTTTGCATAGGAACATAACGGGACGAAATGAAGGCCTCCTCCTTCGCCCTTATGGGGTTGTTTTCGGGTTTGGACGGGTGTTTCATCTCGAACGTGGACTAGTTAGTCCAGATGACCTGGTTGATGTCATCAGCCCTCTAGTTTTGTTTAGCCTCAGGCATAACGAAACTCATGTTTGGCCATTTTAAGACGTTTTTGACTGTTTTGTGCCCTCCGGTAAGCAAAGCTTAAGTCACCTTGAGTTATGTACCCCGAAAGAACACTCTTAGACAGCTGGTAATCCATCCTGAAAAGTCTGTTTACCAACTTTCTAACTAGAGGTGGCAAAATGTGGACCCGAGGACCCGGTCCAAAGAACCAGTCTGGACCCATATGGGTCCAGACCGGTTCCTGGAAATTGTCTGACGGGTCCAACCGGGTCTTTCCATAAACACTACACATATTGCACACTACACATTATTGCAAAATATGAAGTGAATGAAGTGAATGTTTCTTTGCACACAATAGCTCGTGAGTATTTGCAGTGGGAAATAGACTGTTTTACTTGATGCAACTAATGATACCTACAAGTAGTTTGTATTAATTGACTTTTGGGGAACGGGTCCAACTGGTTCCGATTCCAACTAAGACCGGGTCTGACTGGTTCCAGAAATGTCCAGCCGGGTCTGGTTCGAGTCTGGTTCCCAAAATTTTCATCTTTTGCCACCTCTATTTCTAACCCTTTGACCTTTTTGATGGCCACTTTGGCGCCACACAGTTTTGGCCACTTGGCTCATTCCTGAGGGCTGGCTAGAAAGAGGATAAACTTGCAGTGATTGACTCCCAACAAATCATCGGCGTCACTTGCTGACTGTGCGTCCAGTTAGCAATGGATATTGGCTACAGACTGGTAGGCCTCAATCACCCTCAATCGTCGCGAATGGTCACGTGCTGACTAAATACTGAGAGGTACCCGTATCGGAGACCTCTATGTTGCGGCGTTAGCCGTCTCTGTAGGAAGCGGGCTCTCTAGCAAAAACTATTTTGTCTACAGAAATTAGCTACTGTGGAGCATATTTCTACCAGCCATGGCAACCATGTAAGCTCAGTTACGAACCAATTTCAGCGTGCCTTTAAGCAAGAAAGCCTAAAAACGTAAAATTTAGGTGAGAACGAACTTATGGGACACCCTGTAAAAATAGCTCCGCACCACAGCGCGAGGCGTGAACGTTTGCGCCGAGTGAGTGGCCTTTGGGAGTCGGTGGCGGCGGCAGCGACTGGTCGGTATTATGTGGCCGTGTTTTTGTTACAGTTCTGTCCAGCCGACACGGACCGAGTTCAGGTCATCCGGGGTCAACTGGGGCCACCGCTGGGAGGGAGGCGTCCAGTGCCCCACAGTGCTGCTCCACACAGCTGGGTGGAGTATATCGGCCCGGTAGCGGACCGGGACAGAGAGGCTGGCGCGGCGGCGGCCAGTACCGTGGCTGAGATCAGTCGGGGTCGACGGAGCGGAGAGCGAGCAGTTGTGGTCCAAGATCAGGTTCCTCGGGGAGGGGCCAGGAATTCCGAATGGCCGACCGGACCGCGGCGATTCCACGCCGCCCGTCGTACTGGCGTCCCAGGACACAGCCGTTCCAAACGGAAGGCCAGCGGGTTTTTACTGAGCTGACCGGCCGACGGCGGCGGCGGCGGCTGTCGACGAGCTGTCGCGGGCTCTGCCGAACATGTCTGAGTCTGTGTCCCGGCGGGACCTCCTGAGTCCTGACCCTCAGCCTCGGCGGTCCGATGGAACCGTGCACGCTGAAGGGGCAACACAGTTCGCAGTGACCGCTGACCATTGACCAGCTCCGGTGACTAGTAACCGGTGACCAGTGATCAGTCTCTATCTGCCGGAAGGGCAGCGCCCTGGCCGGCTAACGACCGCTGTCCGTGCGCCGTGCGCGTCCAAAAACCGGGCTCCTCCGTCCGTCTGTCGGTGCGACCGGCCAAAAACTGGCCCCGGCAGACAGCGGACCCGGCGGCGGCCACAGTGCCGACGCTAGCCCGTCCTTACAGCGCCGGCAGACAGTGGGCACTGGGCAGGGAGCGGCGAACAGCAAACGGCGAACGGCAGAGCACCGACCGCGGACGGCGGATACTGCAGAGCCAACAGCAGCAGCAACTTACCCAGATCAGCGACCCGCACACAAATGAACACAAAGGTCCAACAGGCATGCATTCCCAGCTGGAACGCAGGAAGCATGCAAAAAAGGAAACCTTTGAGGATATTTCCTAACAACCACTTACTTTGCCCAGCGCAAGCGTGAGCGGCTTGACAGGTGATTAGAAAACGCCGCCGCGGCTGGACGCAGTTTAGGAACGAGTTGCATTAACGCCTTTTCCTGTTTGGGAGGGAGGCGGCTGCGGGTCCGGTCGTTTCGGCGGTTCGCCCGCACCAGTAGCGACTGCAGCAGCAGGTGCCTGCCTTTCCTCGCTCCGGTCAGTGCCCCGCAGCCTCCCAGGGCAGCGGGCGCCCCTATGGGGGCCGCCGGCCGACCCCAGCGGGCACACCGGCCCTATCCAACAGCCGAGACCGAAAGCAGCGCTCCAGGTGATCCGGCAACCCAACCAACGTCAGCTGGTCCCCTCCCTGGACCACGATAGACTGCGCTGGACCCACCTCTTGAGCACTTAACTGCGTTGGACCCACCTGTTTGATCAGTTGGCTGCGTTGGACCCCCAGTTTCATCAGCTGGCTGCGTTGGACCCCCCCCCCCCCCCCGTTTGATCAGCTGGCTGCGTTAGATCACTATGATCAGTTGGCTGAGTTGGACTCACCTGTTTGACCAGCTGGCTGCGTTCTCTGCTCAGCTGGTCGCAGCGCGCCGTCAGCTGGTTGATGCGTCTCTGTGCGGCCAGCAGGTCGTCTAGGTCGGAGCCGGAGGTCGTCTCCGTCTCCGTCTCCGTCTCCGTCTCGTCATGGCCGCCGCTGCCCGACTCCAGCCGGTCCTGGGCATCGCGCAGCTGGTTCCTGAGGCTCAGGAGCTCCTTCTGCAATCGAAGGGAATAGGACGCTCAGACGCAGCCGAGAGCCGTGTTGCGAACTCAACCATGACGTAAGAGTTCAGACTTCAGTGTGTGGCAGAATGCATCCACCTACTGATTATTCAATGCTGAATGGAATCAAGGCAGGCAATGATGTCATGCCACCAGGGGTGTAATTTTCCTAAAATGATTGTGGGTTCTCGCTCAGCTGTAGAGGCGCCAAGACGCTTTGGGGCGCATTGGAGAGGCCAGAAGGGCGCCGAACAGTCAGTAGTGCGAAGTTGGTGGGGACGTAGGGGCGCCAGAAGGTAACGAGGGCGCCGTGAAACCATGACAAGGGGCGCCATCCTCCCAGAAGGGCGTCGAGCGATTAAAGACGTTTTATGGTCTAGGGGCGCTGAGAGGTCAGAAGGGCGCCGAACAGTTAGTAGCGCTAAGTTGGTGGGGACATAGGGGCGCCAGAAGGTTACGAGGGCGCCGTGAGACCATGACAAGGGGCGCCATTCTTCCAGCAGGGCGTCGAGCGATTCAAGACGTTTTATGGTCTAGGGGCGCTGAGAGACCAGAAGGGCGCCGAACAGTCAAGGGATGCAAAGTGGACAGAGACATAAGGGCGCAAAATGGTCAGGAGGGCGCCGTTATTCCAGGAGAAGGGCGCAGTGCTGTCAAAAGGGCGCCATTCTCCCAGAAGGGCGCCATGTGATTAAAACGTTATAATATCCAGGAACGCGAGACGGTCAGGAGGACGCCGTTAGAGCATGCGAAGGGCGCCGTGCTCTCGAAAGGACGCTTGTAGAAGACTTGTGGGTGCATTTTCATCATTGTGGGGGCATAATTCAGGATTGTGGGTGCATCTGCTCCCACAAAGAGATATAAAATTACACCCCTGCATGCCACGCAAGCTGGAATAAAATAGAATAGAAGTAAGCCTGTTTAATGCCACAAACTAGCTACTGTCGCCCACATCTCACGGTTGGATAAATATCTGGCTAGATCGCAAACTTCGGAACAAGCAGACAAAGGGCAGGGCTGAAACTAAGTCTGCAACGCAGCTGTTGTCGAACATTTAGTCCGACAGGCCGGTTATTCAGGCGGCAAAGCGGGGCACTCGGGTCGGAAAATCTGCGGAGCGGAGGCTGCGCCGTCGGGGACGGTGGGAGTCCCCTCGACAAACGCTAACCGACTTATACCGGAGAGACTGACGGCGATTGCACAATCCTACACCATCCAGAAGATAACCATACCGGCTGAGAACAGAGACAGCAGTCACTGGAACGGTTTCCTGAGGTGTTATCCATTGTTCGGTGTCCATTTTGAACGCGATGTTGGATAACGGCAGGCTGTTCCTGCGAGACTCGGCGTATCAAGGCAGGGCTTTGGCGGACTGTAAATGTCTTAGACTGCACACCATGTGCTAAGATGATAAGTATCAAGTCTCAACGGACGCTGATGGGCTGCATGATATTTGCAGAGCCCGTCTGGCATGTGGCGAGTGCCGGCGAGGATCACGTCAACGACTAAATGTGAAACTGCGGTCTCTGTAACCTGTACACCGGAGAGCCAGCTCCCGTATCGAGTACACCATGGGTCGGTACCAGGGTACACCGCAGAACGGGTACTCCGAGTACACCGAGAGACGGTAACCGGGATACCCTGGAGTACGGGTACTCCGGGTACACCGGAAAATCAGGCCCCGGGCACACCGGAGAGGCGGTCCACGGCCGGTCGAGGGCGGTACATCCTGTGTTTCGCCACAGTACACGGGCCGGCCGGCGCCGCACCGGCCCGCCGCGGCTTTCGCCCACCCTAAATATTGGCTCATGCGAATGGCAAATACTCTCTATTGACTCAGGCCAAGGCATACAAGATAGCGTTATCTGGCCGCGGGGCGGCGGCGGCGGCGGCGGAACGGCGCAGGTGCGGTGGGCGAGGTGACGGAGTCGGGAACGGAGCCGGCCGGCGGGGCGCACAAGGCTCAATAGCCTCCCAAACGGGGGGCGGCAGGGCTCCATCATCTTACAGTCGCTCCCAGTCGGGACGGCAATGCTTAGAGACGCTGCACACTGCACACTCAAACAGCTACCATTTGTTTCATAATGCAGGAAAAACTTCGCATGTGCCCGTGTTCCCTTGAAGAATGATATCACGTAGTTGACAAAGATAATCGCTTGCTACGTCTTATGTGACAGGTACATTTTTACCATTGGAGTGAATCATTGTATTACGAAGCTTTCAAGCGTGGCGACTTCTGTTCTGTAGTACACTGTTCTTCGACTTCTGTCCGACTTCGACTGTACACTCGACTTCTGTTCTGTAGACTCGTACTTCCCTTACTGCAGAGCACCAATACGGCTTCTAGAAGTTAGCTATACCTAATGCCTATCCACGATTATCCGCACATAGAAAAAACGCAGCATTTTGGAGAACGGATTCAATTCCTAGGTCGGCCCGCGCAGCTCGGACATTCACCCCGCTATACCGGCTTCCCTGCAGCACGCACCAGGGAGCCGTACACCGGCCTCCGACAAAGAACTGCCACCCGCCGACCGCTGCTGAACCCCGGCAGGGCGCGGCCCGCAGACGTCACACACGCCGCCTTTCCTCCAGAATGGCCGCCGTGCGGCGTGGCGTGGCGCAGCGTGGCGCGGCGCGGTCCGTGCTGAGTTACAGAGCGCTGACCAAATCCCGCAAACGAGTTCTGCTCTAATCCGAGCGGGCCGCGCAGAGCCCGGCTCGCAGACTCCGCCCGGCCCGGCCCGTACCCGGGCGTATTCCGGCCCGTACCAGGGCGTATTCCGGCCCGTACATACATACCCGGGCGTATTCCGGCCCGTACATACCCGGGCGTATTCCAGCCCGTACCAGGGCGTATTCCGGCCCGTACATACATACCCGGGCGTATTCCGGCCCGTACCCGGGCGTACTCCGGCCCGTACCAGGGCGTATTCCGGCCCGTAACCGGTCGTATTCCGGCCCGTACCAGGGCGATTCCCGGACCGGCCCGGTCCGTACGCGGGTCTATATTTCGGCCCAGCCTAGCCGGTACCCCAGCTGACCCCGTACCCGGCGTTGACCGGCGACGGGAGGTGCTGGGTGTACCCCGACCGGTTATGTTTCATCGGAACGTCGGACCGGTCACCCAACAGAGCTGTTGCCAGTTTGTGATGTCAAACAAAAATATCGGAAGAATATTTCCCCTATCTGAATTCACTCTTCAAACATCTCAGATAAGCAGACCAGGAATGTTCCGAGCGTCAGGTTCCATTTTCCCACGACTGAGAAGAGTAGTTGGTTTTAGGGCGTCAAAGTTCGCACCTTTTGGTGTTCGCGCCTTCAGGGCGTTCTGTGAACTCATCGACTAATAACACAAGCGATGCATTTCATTACGGTAGATTTCAATGGATACATGAAAAGATAAGTGTTAAACACATCGACTGTTAATAAATTTTCAAAAGCTATAACGTGAAACCGACGTCCGACGGATAGAGCACGGAGCACAACAAATCTAATGAAAACCGTTCGTCTTATGCAATTGCGATCGGTTTTTCCCATTCAGCTTCTTATGCAACGCTTGAGCCGGTCCTGGTAGGTTATCTCTGAGTCACGAAAATTCCCTCCAGAAAACATTTAACTGCCTTCAACGTCAATATGGACTCTGAACTAATATAAAAGCGCACCAGAGAGCAGGCGGGGCGAATTCCCTGCAATCAATGAGATGAAAATTGACAATATTCAGCTGCGGATTTTCATGGGGGAGCTGAAATCCAGCAAAGTCCCAACAAAAGGTACCGCACCATATCTGTACCAGTACCGCGCCATGTCCGTCGCGCCGCGCCGGCGCGCCGTGCAGCGGCAGTGCACAGCCCCACCGCCGCCGTCCGCCCTCCGCCGGCCCGCTCGGCATTGTGCCCCACCACGAGAGCGTGACATCTGCCCCGCCAATTGCACAATCGGCCCAGATCGCCAAGATAGGAGGTGCATTTGGGCCGGAACGCGGCGCACCGGCCGCCGCCATTAGCAGGTGGGGGCCGACTTCCGCCCCCGGTCCCGCCCGGTGGTACGGGCCGGTCCGCCCCCGGTCCCGCCGGGCGGTACGGGTCGGCTCTGTACGGACCGGCCCGTCAGTACGGGTCGGCTCTGTACGGTCCGGCCCGTCAGTACGGGTCGGCTCTGTACGGACCGGCCCGTCAGTACGGGTCGGCTCTGTACGGTCCGGCCCGTCAGTACGGGTCGGCTCTGTACGAGTCGGCTCAGTACGGGTCGGCTCTGTACGGACCGGTCCGTCAGTACGGGTCGGCTCTGTACGGACCGGGACGCGGCGGTCAAACACCGAGGGCGAACTGGTGTGGAGGAAAACACAAAGAGAAACGGGGCTGGAGTTGATGAATAAATACAACAGCGCCGAAATTACAGCTGCTTTTAAATATATCCATCTACGAGTTTTATGACGGACTCATAGCACACAGCGCAAGCCACAATTACTCGAGCAGTGTGATACAAAAAAAAAAATCGAGATATCTCGAATTTCAAATGGGACCCGTTTTCAAACAAATGACTTCCCTGCTTAGCGGCCAAGAAGTCTTATGATCATCCAATAAGGCAAGGTAAAACCAAGCAGGACAGAGCAACTTGGACGCAAAACAACGCTAAATATGCAACTAAATGATGCCCAACTCGGGTAGACTCTGGCGAAATAGCCGCTGACTCTGACCGACTCTGACACCGTCTGACTGACACTCGCTGACACCGTTTGACTGACACGTGAGTGACACTCTGCGCCTGACGTCTGCGACTCGCTGTGACACGCGGCTCGCCGGGCTGTTTGTCACACACCTGTGTCCCCGCTCACTGCAAAAACAGCCGCCCCTCCACCGCAAACGCGGCAAACAGCCCACCAGATGTGAGGCTGTCGACACAGCACCGGAAAAAGTACCTACCCACGAACATACCCGCAGTTGACGGATAGAACTCTCTTAATAAGGAAAATTTGGAAACCAGATATCCAAATCTATATCTTAAGCTTAGTGACCAGGGACGTGAATACTAAAAAGTTCGCAAAATAATCATTGAGAACTGAAAAAGAAACGATTCAATCTTATTGAATCCGATGTAACTGAATTTAAAATGGCGCTCAGCACCGAATTCTGACAAAATGTGCAATGTTAAATTCGTGAATGGCAAATCCAATAACCCAAACATGGCAACAAGCTAACATTAATCAATATAGAAATGAAATGAGAGCAATGCAGCTAGAACCAACAAAAAGAGTTTGTGGCTGTGAAAATTTGGCATTGCCGACATACACATTATAATTTAGTGGTTGCGACTCGCCGCAGCAAACGCTGTTGATGCTATACCATGCCTATGTATTGGCTTAACTTTAGTGCACGTTTATCGCCACAAGTTCTCGTGGTGTTGGGTACAGAACACTCGGAAGGCTGATAACACACGGAAGGAAGTAGTTTGAATTTTGGCGACGCCATCACCTGAAGCCAGTATCCCTTTCCTTGCATGACTATTGCCTTTACGCAAGAGTCGGCGAGTAAAAATGGAAACCTGGTTTAGTGCGCAGTTAGTATTGTTTTTAACACATTGTTCTAAGAATTAATCAACTCATTCTGATACTGAAAATGCAATGTCATGACAGACTAAGGTTAACATGGATTTCCTGGGGGCAAAAACACACATACTCGTAATGCAGCCATGATTTACGACTCAATGCATTAATAGGATCGACGTGAGTAATGCCAGCAGCCATGTGATATCGGGCGCCCTGCAGTACAGACAGTGACCTGAAAATGGCACCTGGTCTTTAGGAAAGCGGAAAATCGCGAACTAAACAACATAAAACTGCGCGTAAAACTGCAGGAAAGGTGACGCCCACACGTCACGACAGTAATTAATTTAACTCCCAAAGGGTCAAAAGTAACCGGAAGTATAGGAGCAGTGAGCAACAGATTAGTTTCGAGATTATTAGCCTCTGAGGCTTTAACTCATTAGACTTTAGACTCCGATACGGTCTGCTCAAAGATCGAGGCTGTGCGAGGGCGAAGAAAAGACGCCTCAGTTAGGATGAGCTCATATCGCGATAGACTCGGAAAATGCTGAGCATGAGCTAGGAGATGCAGCTGTGATTTGAGTGGCTGGCATTTCCCGATGTGTCAGACCGCTCTCCCGTCACGGACGCTGCCTCGCGGCCGGGGAGCCTTGGATCTTATCCGTGGGTGTGCGTGCCGTGCAGGCCGGGTCGGTGCTGTTTTGTATCCAGGGAAACTGCACGCAGTGACCTCCCCGCGTGACAGCGAGCGCCGCTCACAATAAGACGGCCGTGAAAGGACCGTTTGATTTCAATTAAAAACGCGAGATGCTGAGCACCACGGCACGGTCTATAACTGTGCAAAACATGGAGAAACGGATAACGCTAGAAACTGTAAAGAGAGGGTAAAATCTTAAAGTATATCAGCGTTATGCAGACATGGAAGCATAAAACGCCAACGGTAGCGTCAATGCTACGGAAGAAAAGCAGCAGAACCAAAGAAGCTAATTCAGAATACACCGTTCATTAACTGCGGACAAGGCAGACGGACAAAAACTGCCGAGAAACATCAGATACCGCGGCCAGATAGGGACGTGTGCTGTCCTAAAAACCCGGCCCGACAGGTATCTGAAGGCTTCGTTGATAAACTATCGCAGACCGACAGTCCATATGGCCGCCGAGAAAAAGCGAAGTGTCAAACTTTTGAGGTTGTGTTTCTCACCAAGCACCACACAGACATATTCAGAATTAGTTACCTAATGAGTTAATTTGATTTCAACGATTGCATAACCTCATAGCGGTCAGGTTACTCCACCATATGGACATGTGGCGGACATGTTCAATGATCACCAAAGTCAAGTCCCGCCCAGAAACATCATCAACACGGAGCCCGACGTTCCCAATTGAAACGTTAAAGAAAGTCGCGTGAAACGTTCAAAGCGCGGCACACAATGGCTGCGCCATTATGAGGAACAAACAGCGAGTGACTTTATACTCGAACGAACAAAGACGAACATGACGACTGACCTCGAGCAAGCGACGATTATTCAGCAAAGACGCAACACAAAGCATGAGTGTTTCATGGACTAGGTGAGAAGGGAAATGGGAGACGGGTACTGATGACTTACTGTCGGGACGAGAGCAGCGCTTAGCAGCGAGAGGATCTGAGTCCTACGCTGTGGCGCCCGCATCAACCATTGCAACAGGGCGTGGACAAGGCCCACACATCGACCTATCCCTGGGGAGGGTCGCCTATCACCCACCCCCTAGGCAGGGTAAAGCCACAGACCCCCCCCCCCCCCCCCCCCGGGAGAGTGCGCCGAAGACCTAGCCTTCGGTTGCGTACGTCCGAAGCCCTTCCCTCGGCAAATGAGCCCAAAGACCCATCCTTCGGCAGAGGGCGCCGAAGACCCACCTCTCGAGTGACGAGCTCCTGGCGATGCTCCTTGGACAGGCCGCTCAGTCGGAGGTCAGCAGTGTTCAGACGCTCTTCGAGCTCGCCGCTGTGGCGCTCAAGGCGGGCGATCTGAAACCAGAGACAGAGACGCCGTCAGCTCCCCGTCCAGCCTGCTCGGACCTCCTTGGAGAGGCACACCCCGAAGAGCTGCGTGTTGAGGGCCGTGAAGGGGAACTGGAAGGTCTGGTGGAGCCGGGGCTCGGCTGAGGGACGGTGACTCACCTCAGGTAGTCGGGTGTCGTCGGCGGCGGAGAGTGCTCGGCGGCGGCGGGGCGCTCTGCCGGCTCCCCGCTGGCGAGTGGAGCCTCCACCGGCAGGGCGCCCTCCGCCTCCAGCCGCCGACGCCAGCGCGCATGCGCCGCGCAACAAGCATGGCCGCCGGCCGACACGTAGGCAGCCAACAGCCAATCAATACACAGCCGGCAGATTGACACCGGGCGAATAAAATCAACACGTCGCCCCGTGTGGGGTGACATGTGCCGTCAGGCCGGCCGGGTCGCCGCGCCCTCTGACACCCCTCGGGCGCCCTCCGCGGGTCGCCCCTCCCCTCCCCCTGAGGGGGTGACGCGGTGCCGCCGGCGGACGTCAGGCCGAAATGCCGCCGCCGGAGGGACGGCCGCCCCCTGACGCTGCAGCGCTGGCGGCTGCAGGTGTGGCCTGACGGCGCGACCTGGGGAGGTGGCGCCACCCCCGGCCCGCCGCCAGCTGCCGGCCCGTACACTGTTTGCCCTCAGAACGAGTCGCCGACATCGCTGCTGGGGTGATGGACGGGATGGAGGGGACCCCGTGAAATTGTGCGACACTTCAAACCGAGTGAAAAACGATACAATTCAACGCAAGAAAACATAACTGACTCGAAATTCGCCAGAAGTTTGTGCCATGTTTGTGGGCGATCGACAGAGCAAAGAGGGCTTATTGTAGAAGAGGAGAAAGACGGAACCATTCAGCACCCCACGTAGCAAAGCATACCTACCAGTGTGAAATTAAAACGCAAACTTTGCCACACATAGTCAGCGCTCAGTCACAGCAGTTCGTTTGTTGTTTGAAATCGGTCAGCATATTATCAATTATAAGCCTCAAAACACACACGAAAAAACAACGATAGCTCCAGAATTTGTAATTGCATTCGAGCAAACACCAATCGGATTGCATTCCCAAAAAAAAAAAAAAACAGGTCATAAATAGAGACACACAGGTTTTCCATACGTCATGCTGGTCTGAAATCGCAGGGACTAATAACGTTTCCCGATACATTGACCTTATATCACGCCATAGATCAAGATACAAGTTCATTTATCAATAAAATCGTGCTGGCTGCTGCTGAGTAAGCGGTTAAATACATCTTAAACCAGTTTCTTTTTCTTACAAAAACTAAATGTTTTCTGTAGAGGAAGGTGGGGGTAAGACGGCCCAGCGGGGTAAGACGGACCACCAGCCTTACCGGCTGAATGGCTGCTGTCATCTTCTGCTTTTCTTGGCGATAATGGCCACCTTGGGCTCATGGGGCCAGGTCGTATGGATTTTGAGCTGTATTGAGAAAAATGTTCTAACCTAACCTAACCTAACCTAACCTAACCTACCGATCTAATATTAGAGGATATAGATATATTAATATTATATATATATATATATATATATATATATATATATATATATATATATATATATATATATATATATATATATATATATATATATATATATATATATATATATATATATATATATATATATATATATATATATATATATATAGATAGATTAATTAATTAACATTATATATATAGATTAATATCTAATATTAGAGGATCTAATATTAGAGGGCGATTTAATTTCGGTGCCTTTCTTGCATGATAAGTTTTTATTTGCACTTTACTATGAAGAACAATGCTATAGTCATACTCAAGGACAGGCAAAGTTTCGCAATGTTGGGCTATACATATACGTCACGGTAATTACAGATTCAATATTTGGGGCAAGACGGACCACTGTGGTCCATCTTACCCTGTGGTTGTCCATTGTACCCTGCATATGGAAAGTTCTTTTCCAAAACATTGACACAAGTTTAAGTAAGCTAATTTTTTCAGGAGGGAGTCATGTGTCATGTTGCCATGTTGCATGTGAGCCATGCATGCATGTGCTCAACGGACATGTATTCATGCCAAACGACAATCAACACAGGTTCCCACTTCCCAGCCTTTAGTTGCACTTCCATCATATATTAGTATGGAATGAATGCTCATTTTATTTTACCACTCTGGTTACTCCCAACTTACAAGAGTAAAGGTTAGAAGTGTACCAAACATGAATGGATAGCAGGCACTGCTAGGTGGTCCGTCTTACTCCGCGTTTTTCTTGTGAGAGTTTTTAACATGTTCCCCTTTAAGAGCATCACCCACCTAGATTTAATTTGAAATTCAGTCTTTGCACATATCAAAAGAGGAAGGCTTGAGCATTCATGAGACTATAAACAATATGAGTTACGAGAGCAGTGTAGCAAGATGTGCGGCCTCAAACCGTAGCTGGTCCGTCTTACACCACCACCTTCCCCTACCTGCTATAAAACATTTTGGGCTTAAAAAAGGTTACATTGAATAATTAGACCGGGCAATATTGCATGTTCATCGTGATAATATAGGTAATGTTCCGACACACTGTCAGGAAATGTCAGCCAACGCGACCGACTGACGCTCGAGCACCGCCACAGAGCCACGTGGCACCCGGTACGCCCCGGCGCGGCGGTACATACACCTCCCCTCGGAGCGTCCTCCCTCTCACTCCCTCCCTCTGTCCGGCACGGCCCTCTTCCCTCGCTGACATACATGGAGGAATAATATTCATGCATGAAACGATTTGAGCACAAAAGAACAACTCGAGAAACATTTAGCAGAGTGCAGTCGACCGTTTGGAAAACTAAGTTGAGCGGTAGTTAGTTAAGAAAATTGGAGCTATAGGTAAGCCAAAAACACATCATTATGCCACATTTCTCGACATTGCATCAGACCATTATTCAGCTGAGTGATTCAGCTCGCGCTTCGTTCTGAAATGTCAAAAACTATGACTGGCGACACAGAAAGGTTGGACCACTGACCAGGTCATACGAACAGCACAAACACTATCTGTTCATCAGTTAGCGCCGCGGTACCTCCATTCCCGCTGCTCACAGGACAGGTCCGATACAGGTTGAATACGATTTGACCGTATTCAACTTAATATTTATTGTATTCAAAGACAAGCTCGACTTAGCCCAAAAGGCTCCGTTGCACCTTCAGCCGAATCGTCCTATTTGGGACTAACGCATTTAAAGGGCATGGTTGTCAACGTGCGCAGCTGTTTACGTGCACAATTTTTAGCGTCGAAGCTTTTCTACCGGTCACACCAACACCGAACCATCAACAACTCCATGTCCATGCGCCCTTCGTTTCGCCATTCGGGCCCCACATGTGCGCCATGGTATCAGAGGTATGCTATCACAGACCCATCTGTCTGTCACTGTCTGAGGCGGTGCGCAGCCGGTAAATGAAGGGAAAATGGAAACAGATCAATTATGGCAGCTGTACCATGTTTCCACAGCTCTTCTTTAACGATAATCTAGAGCAGCGGTTCCCAAAAAAAATGGACCTATTCCAACTGGATATTACGCAGCTGGGCACTCAGTTGAAATGTGTGTGTGTGTGTGTGTGTTTTTTTTTTTTAATCCACGGCCAATGACCCATCTAATGCTAACAAGCATTCCATGTTTGGTCTTTAGAAGAATCCTGCGTCCATCATTCCCCCTAGGAACAAGCATTCTGGACCTGGGGCTTTTTACGAGTAGTCCTGGAGGCATACCTATAGGGATGACGCCGGCACACGACGCTCCTTAAGCGATACGAGGGGCGTTCAAAAAGTTCTCGGCCCAACCATGAAGGAGTTGGAATTTCGGCCTGCAACGCGGTGAGTTCAATGTTGTGTTATTGGGATGTCCACTTACGTAGCCATTAACCAATCTGCCCTGTGATTGGTTCAGGCTGCTAATTAGTCGTAACATAGTTTGCTATTCCCGGTCAGAATGGGCGACGCCCAGAATAGAACAGTGATTTGGTTCATGCATTGCAGAAAAATGCACCAAACGTTATTCACGAAAGGCTAGTGCCAACACATGTTGAGGTTTGTCGTTCTTACAGTAGCGTCAAAAAGTGGGCATCTCTGTTCAATTTTGGTCAACAGATCTTTAATGGTCACCCCCGCAGTGGCCAGCCATCAACAGCATTGACTCAAGAAAATATGAAAAATAAGCACTTCTTTGTGAAAAATGACAAATGTTCTGGTCTGAAACAACGTAGCAGAAGCGGAGGTGTCTATCAGGTTCATCAAAGCCATTCTCCGACAGCGTATTAATATGTTTAAGATCTCTGCAAGATGCATCCCCCGTTTGTTGACTCCAGAGGAAAGGCAAACTCGAAAGGAGGCGTAACGCGAAAATTTTGGCCCCTATATCGAAGATCCAAAAGAGTTCATTGAACTACTTGTTACCGTGGAGGGATTGTGGGTGTCACACATTGACCCTCAGGGCGTGATCGAGTTGCACAAGTGGAAGCACACTGAGTAAAGGCCACCAAATGAGTGCGACGTGTTAAAGTCAGACAGCAAGGTGACAGTGGTTGCATTTTTGGATGATGGCGGGGCTCTGCTCGTCAGCTTTCTAAAACAGGGGCGCACAATTCATGATGAATGCTACAACTCCCTTTGATAACAGTAGCAAGCAGCAGATATCAAGGAGAGACTAGGGAAGCTGACTTAAAGTGTGCGTCTGATCCAGGACCAAGCACCAGCACACATGAGCAGGGTGACGATCAGCGAAGCAGTGAGCTGTGGCTTCGAGTTGTTGTCACAGCCACTTTTTTCTTCGTACCTTGCACCCTCAGGCTGCCACCTCTTCCCCAACATAAGGAAATTGCTTAGCAGTGGCAACTTCGCTGACAGCAAGGAGACAAAAGCAGCCGTCTTGGACGTGCCAGATGCGTCCAAAACCCACTTGGCTATGGAGACCCAGAGGCCTCTCGCGAAGCGCTGCGCGAAATATTTTTGTCTTAACGCTGGTTATTTGACTAAATGAACATTTTTGGTCTAATAAGTCGACGTCGTATCTCTACTCCTTCATGGTCGGGCCGACAACTTTTTGAACGCCCCTCGTAAACATGCACTCACTCGTAAATATAAACATATAAGCTGCTTATAGCTTCATTCGTGAATGGCATAATCATACTCTAACAGAAAAAAAAAACATTTTATAATATCGCTTCAATGTGAACATTCCAGCGTGCTACCGTTAAATGCCAGACGTTTGATTAATTGCCAAAATGCAGATGGTCGGAAGCACCTGGCAGCAATTAACGAGTGCCACCTAAAAACATGTCAAAACACCACCAGGCTATTATAGACAACATCATGGTCCCTTCATCATTCGGACGAAATAACATGTGCCCACAATTAATCTTCTTTGTGCCTGCGCTTTCAAACTCAGGTAACAAGAGGGCAACAAATAAGTCGAAGGATGTAAAAATTACAACTCGTTGCAAACTAGAGCTATCATACTCAAACTCTTCCTTGCGTTGCATAGCATTTACAGGCTGGAAAGTTATTACGCGAAGATAATTTTGTCTTTAACCCGCGCCGTGGAACGGGGGGCGTTTTAACGCCCCCCCCCCCCCCCCCCGGTCTAACTCGGCTCCTGGGCCAAGTACAGTAGCGACATGTCGCAGTTAGCGGCAATCGAAAGAGCGTCAAAAATAACGTCAGAAACACTTCTGTCATTTTTTAGGTCACGTCAAAGGTCAGGTCACCAGAGATTATCACAGGTCAAATTTAGCCCACTTCAACAATTTTGGAAACTGCCAACGACTAAATTGGAGCCAATGGAGCTACAGCGCCACATAAAAGCGCATTCGATAGCCTTTTTACAGACCTTTCTGAGCATTGCTCTCAGATTTGACCTCAGGTCAACGATTTAGCCTTCAGAGGGCAAAAACTCTAAAAATAGCCGTTTTCACAACAAATGGTTTCAGTAATAGCTTTTGACTCCGGAGAGCCACGATATCAATTTTGCCAGCTTCGCGTTTCTCTCGTAGAGGACTCGAGACGCGTCGAATGAGCTATACGGTGACCTTACAGGTCATTTAGAAACAAATGACCTCAGGTCAAGGTCATGACCTGACCGGAAAGGGTCATGCTGGATATCAGTCGATCCGTATCGTTGAGCTGAACACATCTGACGTGTTTTCATCGCTCTAGCACGTCTCTATCAAAAGTTACAGTAAAAAAACTGCTGGTTGCCTTTCATGACCTGAGATGACCTCAGGATCACACAGAGGGGTTACAGCCCACAGGTGCAATTTTTCGATTTAATGTGTCATGTTACCTATGAACCGATGTTTGAGAGGGTTTAGCATGACATTCGTCCAAAAGAGGCGCATTTCAATTTTCTCCCATTGACTTATAATGGAGAGGTCGCAAAATCGACCTGCCTTAGGCCACAGATATAAAAAAAACGAGACATGCATTTTATACATACTGTTAACCAGTGGTCAGAAAAGATACAATTTTGCCTATTTAAACATTTTTTTTTCTCGAGAAACCGGCGCATAACCCGGGAACCAATAGAGCTACAACGCCGCGCAAAAGCGAATTTGATAGCCGTCTTAGCGCTCTTTCTGAAAAAGTAGTTTAGCCTAAAGAGAGCAAAAACTAAGAACAGCCGTTGATATGAGAAAGTTTTCTGTAATAATTTTTGACTCAAGAAAAACAATATTTATTTTGCCAGCATCGTGCTCCTCTCGTCGAGACGCATCGTATGAACTATAACTTGACCTTAAAAGGTCATTTTGAAAATCTGACCTAAGGCCTGACCTGAAAAAAATCCTGCTGCACATCAGTCTATCCGTATCGTCGACCTGAATACATCTAAGGTGTTTTCATCGCTCTAGCATGTCTTTGCTGACCTCAGGGACATAAGGAGGGGTCACAGGTGCAATTTTCCCATTCAGTGAGTCATCTTTACCTGCATCCCGATGTTTGAGAGCGTTTAGAATGACGTTCCTCCAAAAGAGGCGCCTTTCCATCTTCTCCCATTGACTGGTGAGAGAGCGTAAAATTGACCTGACCTTAGGTCACCGATATAAAAATTCCGAGACATAAATTTTATACATGCTTTTCCTGTTATCAATGCGGAAAACTTCAAAGCAATCGTTCACTCGGTGTATGAGCTATGGCGAAAATTATAACCTTTCTGAGGTAAGATCACTTGACGTGACCTAATGATATGACCTTGGATGACCTGGGTCTGAAATTTTTACATCACGTGCAGAAAATAAACAGGTGTGCAAAAATGGTGAGTCGGAGCGCCGCCATTTTTGAGATAGGAAGGGAGGGAGGGAAGGAGAGAAGGAGGGAGTGAGGGAGGGAGGGAGGAAAGGAGGGAGGGAGAGGGAGGGAAGGAGGGAGGGGAGCCGACCGGGAAACCGGACAGGTCGAACGGACAGGTCGAGAGGGAGGGAGGGATTGAAGGGGCGCCCGTGACGCGTCCATCCGGGTCAGCGCTGTCACGTGTCACACGTCAGCGTCACAGCCGTGACAGGCCGCCGACGCCTCCCCCCCCCCCCCCACTCCCCGGTACCGGCGCCACTTTTGGTACCGTCCGATCGTCAACAGCAGCTGAGGCGCACTAAGATTCTGACAATATAAACCGATCAAAATGAACCCAGGGGTATGTGTAGGTACCAAAAAGGTGAACAGCTAATGCACTTACAGACAAATTCACCGCTGGATTTCTTTATCACACAAAAAGGGCTTGAGGCGAAATAGATGCAGCTGCAAAGTATTGTGTGAAAGTTTGAGCGACTGTTCCAGTCGTATGCGTGATAAGCGAGATGTATGCCAGCGACATGCTCAGAAATTCTTTCCGCGTTAGGATAAGACTAAGAACAAAGTCAGTCTTGTCTTCACAAGTTAAAATGGCACCGTATGGCAGTGACTCTACAGTACCATCTGAGAGACTGTGAGGTTAATCCCCGCCGCACGTACACGGCATAGACTGTATAGGCACCAGCTTAAAGGTCAGTCTTCGATATCTCGGCATTGTCATTTAAGATATTCATTCAGCGAACTGATGAAGAACTGGGAGCGAGGAGAATCCTGGGGGTTCCACCGGTCCCTATATATAAGCATAGGCGCAAAAAATCCACCTGAACTGTCAGTGCGCTGTGCAGAGTCGCATTAGCTACAGGCACAAAAGGCGAGAGTAGGTGTACAACACGAACGAGTCATAACTCACCTCAGCCACATGGGAAGCATTGGACGCCTCGAGTGCCTTTATCTTGTCATTAGCTATCTTCAGTTGCATCTCCTGATCTGCAAAACGACAAAAATATGATCAGTTGGCTGCATGTTATCAAAAGACTTACGGGTGACGGGGACAACTGGCGGGAGGAAATGGCAAGGAGCATTCCGGGACATAGGTAATCGGCTTTTCCGTTTTTCACTCCCATTGCCACCCTGCTGATTTTTCTTTTAACCATCGAAGTAATATGTATTCAACAAGACAATCGGCTTACTAGGCCATGTCATCTGCTGTCCTGAAGGAAAGCGTTCCTGAGGCCGATAGTCCCGAACGGACCTCGTTCCGTAAGGTCATCAACAATTTCATGCCCCAGCTGACATCTGGTGGAGGATTCACAAAGTGTGCGCCCTTAGATGGCGCTGTACGCAATCCGAATTCGTCAGTGCGATCTCGCCCACTCGTCGGAGTGATGAGCCATTGGGTTTGTAACACCCTCACTCCCGAGCCCTGGTTCACGATATAGCGAAAACACTGGGCGACACTCGAGAGGTCGTGCGAATGCAGAAACAATTAGCGGTTTTCACCTCAGTAGATGATCTATAGGTACCTATATGCTAGTTCTGTGCCTGAATCTGATATCCGACATACGAACTGATACATTTTCGATGCTCAACCAACACTTCCAACGCTTCTACCCACGAATGGTCCCTAAATAAAACATATTGCCAAAAGCTAACCGTCAACTCATTAGAAGTGAAACGTTTCCTACCGCTGCGCGGACGTGGAGTGGCGGACTGCGTAACCATCGACAACAGCCGTGGCACACGAGCCTGTGGAGAGTGGACTACTCACGGGGTCTGAACCTTGGAACTACCGGGTATCGAACTCCGTGCCTCTCACAGCTCGGCGAGTGCTGCCCTCTGATCGAGTGTCTGAAACTGACCACACCTTACAACTCCCACCGTCTGGCACGGCACCCAGAGGTCGCTGAGTGCTGCCCTCTGAGAGTGACCGTACTCCCACGGTCTGACACGGCACCCCAGAGGTCGGACGGGGTCAGTTCGGTTATCCACCGCGCAATGAACGTTACAACAAAATCTACATTGCCTGAGTTGAAACGTGGACACTGTTATAGGTAGACCAGGCAGACGGTCAATTGTTGCCCGTACCTGTCGCGACCGAACTTTAAACCGTCAGACGCTCGCGGACTCGCAATCCGTCCGCACTCGACCTAGAGCGGGTCCGAGCGGCGGTGGCGACAAAGTTGCACCAGTTTTCAGCAAAGAACTGGCCCTGGGCACTGGGCAGGCTGGGCCAAATGCCTTCACCAAGTGAGTGGAGCTGGGAAATCACCTAAACAATGCTAAAACTGGGATAACATGTTATTGCAGGACAGCCACCTACATCTCAGAAAGGTGGACAGCAGGTGTCCCACCACATGTGTTTGCTTGGAATCCACCCCACAGGCCACAACACAAATCAAATAGACTAAAGAACCATGGCTATCAACTATGTTTTCTAATTTCTACAGTAGCATGTTTACTGTATTTACTATAGTAATATCAAGCTAAAGTGGTGATAAAACATATCTTAGGATGGAAAATGATACAGTGAGGTCATCCATCATTTATATCAATATTAACTGAAATACTAAAGGTCCTATAACAGAAAGCGGGGTAGAATATGGGAAATTAAAACAGAATAACACGGTGGATTACGGGAAATTAAAAAAGAAAAACAGGCTGTTTTATAGCATCTCATTGCATTATATCATGCTGATCAAAAGTGCCAGACCTTTCAGACAGTGCATATCAACAGACCAAGAGGTGTAATCAATATCCTGTTTCATTATCAATATACCTAACTGTTCAATTCATGAGAATAAGGAGCAAAATGTATTGAAAAGTAATCAAGATTTACATAAGACAATAAATACATGAGGTAAAACACAACAGACATTCCATGGTATAGAGGAAATAAAGAAAAAAGAGCATAATACACTCCATGAAGTCTTCATTGTCATAAAGCCTTCTGCATTTCCAAAATACCTAAAAATGGAAAGAAATCATGCCTATCCATGATAACTAAAAGGGCACTAAAACTGAAACATGAGAGAACTTTGAATGCCAACAACATTGGACAAAACTTGAACTATTGCAAATTTATTAATGTCAGCGGAAAGACAATAGGGTGCTGAACATGCCACAATTGATTTGAGCATACATAACTTTTCATTTACAATTAATTTAACCTTCTGATTAATCAGTACATTTTAAGCTTTGAAATGCTTATTTTTATCGTTCACAAGTCAAAGTGAAAGGTTCCAAGCTCATGCCGTAAGGGGTATAAAGGGTAGGTACTTACCATCAACTTCATCTGCTCCTTCTGCGAGTACTTCCTTAGCAATATTTGATATTTGGCCTTTGAGGCTACTGAAGCTGTCCCCCAGCCAGGACATGATTGAAAAACGAATGAAGTCCCAAGCTTGGAGTTATGCACCACTTCTTGCAAGGTCTCTGCAATTGCTCCAAGACTATCAGCAACTACAAATCATTCATGGCCGTCCAGCATATTTGCCTTTTAATTAAATGAGCTGTCTCGACAGACAGGAATCAATAAGAGATCTAAAAATCATCATAAATTCAATTATATCCTGACAAGCCACCCAAACAACACGAATGGGACGCGTCATCACCTGCGCAGTTGTTTTGAAAGTATAGCGCCATTAGTGTCGTACTATCATTTTCCTGCTGACTGCTATATTTTTGTTTGCTTGTCAAATAATGGTATGTTTGATTCGTTTGATCATTTAGTCCAAAACCTCGCATGCCATTAGGTACTTTATTTTGCTATGTTTGTAATGAAAAGCCATTTCCTATCATTTTAAGGTGTCAAGAAATATCCACATGATTTAACTTTCTTGTTACACGATAATATTTATTTAACTACTTTCCAGAAACCAGTCTCGTCCGAGCGGATTTAGCAGTTGGCGCTCATCTAAAAATATTACCCAACGAAGGCTTGCATATGAAGAAAGCCGCCAAGTGGCTATCACTTTTGATTAATGACATTGACATTGAGGTGTGGACTGCAAACTTGTCCCTCACCCTCACCCAAGTCTCTCGGTAGTCAGTCATCGTGGAGAAAGGACCTATGTTATGTACAAGCAGCACGGCGGCATCGCGCCTTCCGCGGGCGAACGCTCAGCACGAACTACCTGCGGTTTAGGTCACATGCATAGACCCGGGAACAGGGGGGGCAGCGGGGGCGCTTGCCCCCCCAACTTGGGAGCCGAGGGGGCGGCGCCCCCTCAACATTGAGGCAGCGTGAAAGGATCTTTCTTCCCTTTTCCGGACTTCTTTCCTTCTTGTTTTCCATCTAAACATCATCACACGGCATTTTCCTAGCCATCTGAATGGTTTCTGCTGATACAGTATCGATTTCACAACATCTGCTATTGTTATCCCGTTTTGGTTTGGGCCTGGCCTTGGCCATGAGTTTGGCAGGCCAGATTTTATACTAGACCATTTTGAGAAAACTTTGAGAAATATATAACGTACAACGGTGGTAAAATCGTTGCTATAATATAGGTATAACACAGTTTACCCGCTCCGGGTGTGAGGGAGGGGTGTGGGGCAATGAGTGCACTGACGTGGCGCCCTCGGAAGGCCGGTATCTATGGGATTAAAGCTCAGCGACACTAAGGGCTTGTCTGATGCATTTGGTTATCGGTAGCACCCTCAGAATCACCGGCGTATAGGGCCCTCAGAGCCGCCGCGCCGGTAAGGGGCCTTTAGAGGCATTGGTATGGGCCGCGATGCATGGGTGCCGGTTCGGGCGCACAGAGGTGCTAGTGTGATTGTCCTTACAGGCGTTGCTCTGGGATCTCATAGACGCTGGTGTGGAGCCGTTACAGACGGGTGTGGGGTCTTTAGAGCTGCTGACGCGAACCCTATACAAACCAACAGGGGGAAACCCAACAGGAACTACAAACCAACCAGTGACCGGCACGGGGCCCTTAGGCCGGCAGAAGAAGTCTTGTGGGGTCCTTAGAGACCGGCATGGTACTGTCAGACGCCGGTGGGGCCCTCAGGGCTCAGAGTCACCGGTGTGGGGCCCTCCAAAGTTTCCAGTGGGTGGCCTTTAGATGCGCAGGTGTTGACTGTTGGATCCTCAGAGCCGCCGATATAGGGCTTTAGCACTGGTATAGGCACTCAGAGTTGGGGGTGTGAAATGCTCAGAGACACCGGTGTGGGCCCTCATAGGCGCCGATGAGGGCCCCCTCAGTTGCCGTTATGGGAACCTCGGAAAAATAAGTGTGTGACCATCACAGGCGGGAAATGCCCCTAGAACTGGCCCCTCATAGGCCGGTAAGAACTCTCAGAGGCCAGTAACGGGCCTTTGGAGACCACCGAGGGGCCCTTAAAATCTGCAAGATTCCCTCAGAAGCCGGCGTGGGCCCTTGTTGAGATTTTAGTGTGGTTATTTAGGGCCCATAAGGTGCACTAACGAGACCTATGAGGCCATTCTGAGTCGAAATATGGTCATCGTTAATCCTCAGCGGTCAAATGGCACCGCAGGTCCTCTCGGACCCGAGGGTCCCTTTCAACCCGATGGGTGGGGGGTGGGGGGGGGGGGTGGGGTACGTGTCCCCTTATACCCCTAACTACGCCACTGCTTCATATGCATCATGTCAGGCATTTTAGGCTCGCCCCCCCAACTTGAAAATCGTTCCCGGGCCCCTGGTCACATGGGATGCAGCATCGGCTTGCCAGTCTAATACAGTATGCTCTCTCGAAAGGAGATGATGCATTTATCTTGCAGAGGACAGGAGGATTTCGTTCAGCTTCAGTAGAGACAGACTTGACATGTTTCTTATGTATTTATCAGCTAACCGGTGATGCAAAACAAGCTGTACACATTTGGTATCATTCACTGTATTGTTTGGTGACATGCCACTACGGTTAAACTCTCGAAAAAGTTCACCGGGTGGCAGATGCAACATAAAAATCGCAGGCTCTTACAACTAAAAAATCGCCCGTAGTCACCAAACTATCCACTAATGCTCGGCAAAAGTTTCTATTCCACACGAAAACCACACAAATAAAACCAACTAACTTTCATCCGAGCTAAATACAGTTTCCAGATATCACTCTCACACACAAGCGTACAGCGCAGTCGCACCCACTCATACTATAAACAGCACAGTTCGCACCCACTCGTACTATAAACACCCACGATCGCACATAGTGCATATTGAGAGGCCAATGCCCGTTCACCCGAAGACACGCACACACGTCAGGACACCCTTCGGACCTCTGAGCGGCGCCCCTGCCGCCGCGGCCGGCGGACGCTACAAGATGATGCTAAACAGGCTGCTGGACTGGCTGTCTTCCGCCAGCGAGGAGAAGCTGCGAGACAACTTGGCGCGCTTCGGGTCCGTGGCGGGAGTGCTGGGCGTCTTCCGCTTGGTCGTCTGCGGAGAGCGAGCAGAATGGCTGATCAGTGATTACTATAGTTAAGGAGTCAGGGAAAACTGCGGATCGGGGGCGCGCCGCGGGATGGGACGCCGGAAAAGAGAGGTGAAACTGGAGAAAAGTACGCAACTGTGACAGAAATGCAATGAACGTTAATATTGCATCGATAAGATAAGAGATTATAAATATCCCCCAGAGCCCCGGAGTACAAGGAAGTAAGAGTCACTGTGCGCGGGTCCGGCCGCCGCCGCACCCACCGTACGTACGTACCTTCTCCTCGACGGTCTGTTGGAACTGCTCCTCGACCTCCGGGTCGGGCTCCGACTCCGACGGCTGCCGCTTCCCCATCGAGAAGGTGCGGTTGGATGAGTTTTTGGAGGAGCTGCCGGCCGGCAGGCTCAGGGAGCGTGCCGTGGTCACCAGGCGGGCCAGCGCCTCCTTCCCCCGGCGCAGGAACGAGCCGCGAGACACCAGCTGAGGGCAGGCGGACCGTCAGCTAACGTACCAAGCCAGTCACCTACCTGACCACCACCGTCAACCATACAGCTAGCAGAGAACAGCCAAGAAGGCCGGCGTCGGTTTTGGCATCAATAAGCGTCTCGGTATTCGATCGTCCGGTACTGCTACGCAAATCGGGTCGGAAAAGTACAAAGAATGGCAACAAGACTGCAAGTGTATCCGTGACCTTACCCACCTTGACGGCCCGCGGACTGGAGGGTAGCGGCGGTGGCTGGCCGGCCGGTCGGGCGGCAGCGGCGGCGGCGGGGGCGGCCGGGGCTGACTCAGCGGGTTTCTGTAGTCGCCGCACCACCCGCTGACCCGGCTTTATGAACGTGAATCCGCCACTCTGGGGCTCCTCGTCCTCTTCAGGACCCTGGGCGGAAACGGGGAGACGGGGTAAATGTCACCGACCAGTGGAAATATAGGCAACTGCAGCGGGACATTGAGCGACAACTTACTAACGCTCCCCCTTCGTCATGAAACGTTTCCAGGGCCTCGTTTCATAAAGCGAGTCCGTAACTTATGCCGGTTTTTGGGCTTGTATTGCAAGCGCATGTGAAAGGATAAATTTATTTCCCTTATCCCTTCTGTTCTTGCTTGCATGATAAATAAATTCAACGATTCAAACCATCGCCATCGCTTCACATGCACTTGCAATACAAGACCAAAAACCGGCGTAAGTTACGGAATCGTTTTATGAAACGAGGCCCAGCAAGACATACGAACTAGATTAGTAATGAAATGGTCATGTCGAAGATATTTCTTCTCCGTGCCCCACCAGTGACCCCTGCTCCCACCTTCTGTCCGTGCTCCTGGAGCCACTTTTCTCGCTCGTGCCGCTCCATGCGCCACTTTTCGTCCCGCTCCTCCTCTCCGGGGTCGGCCTCGTCGTCCGACGGGCGGCGCTCGTTCGAGTCGTCACCGGCGTCGTCTGGTGAGGGGATGGCGACGGTGAGGGACGGGGACTCGACGGGTGGATCTCAGCACAGCGGCAGGTGTCGCAGCGTCAGTGGTAGTAGGGTGAAACGAGTAGCTACGTAAGACGGTGAATAACGGTCAGGGACGACAACCGCCGAACAAGAAGAAATCACCACGGAGCGTAAACGCTGACTGAACCTCTGGGATACCACCTATCAGATACTCTAAACGGTGAGATACCAAACCGGCGTTAACTGACGGCTAGTGGTCAGATCAACACGGCCAGTGAACTGCGTCCATCGCCGGCCACTGACCTGCGTTACTCCAGCGGAACTTCCTCTCGCGGCCCTTGCCGTGCAGGTCGCCGTCCTCAAGGAAGCGCTCCTGGAACAGCTTCATCTCGCGGATGTCCTCGTCCAGCGCCTTCTTCTGGTGGATCCGTTCCACCTGGGGCAGATAAGAACGCCGGGATCAGCCGGACGTGCTCCTTCGTGTGCTCTTAACTATTCAGTAACTATGGATAACTAGGGTTACACTGCAATAATGCAATCCGGAGCGCAACGCAGGTGAGACTCGTCAAGGCCAACGTGGAGCAAACAATAGCGACGCGTATTCAATTCCAGATACACCTGCGAGCTTCACTTTCAAACCCAATCCCTTCTCACCCAGCTATACAAGTAAAGCGTTCCAGCATTAGTTCCCGTCCCCTCGCTCCTCGTTCCGCCCGTGTCAGCCGCACCTCGAGCCGCAGTTTTCGCTCGTCAATGAGCTCTGCGTCG